GCATATCAGATTAATGAATGTTCGCTAGGTCTTCATTATCTGTGCGGTTTTTGGTCAGATAAGTCGTGCTTCCAAACAAACAAGACTTAAAGAGCTGCGCCATGATCACTTCTGTGACTTGAAGTGGTCATGGTGCTTGGAGTCCGCATTCAGTGCATAATGAGATAAAGCACTTTGATCGAGAGTTCTGGGCTGCTAATGTATGCCAATATGTGCTTAGCATGCTAGAGAAAAACTGTTTTCCTATAAGACCTGAGATTTTTATAAAGCTTGTTGCATGCATCCTTTCTGTCTCAAACTTCAGAGACAAACAACAAGAATATGCTACTGGACTGTTAAATACTAAAATTACCAGAAACAAAGCTTATACTTATCTTATGTCACAAACACATGAATAATGGCTTATAGGCATTATCTTGCGCAATGTGTAAGATTATCTACACTGAACAAAATTATAAACGCAACACTTGTTTTTGCCCCTATTTTTCATGAGTTGAACTTAAAGATCTAAGACTTTTTCTATGTACACAAAAGGCCTATTCTCTCAAATATTGTTCACAAATCTGTCTAAATCTGTGTTAGTGAGCACTTCTCCTTTGCCGAGATAATCCATCCACCTCACAGGTGTGGCATATCAAGATGCTGATTAGACAGCATGATTATTGCACAGGTGTGCCTTAGACTGGCCACAATAAAAGGCCACTCTAAAATGTGCAGTTTTACTGTATTGGGGGCTTTCAGGGGGGGGTCCAGTCAGTATCTGGTGTGACCACCATTTGCCTCACGCAGTGCAACACATCTCCTTCTCATAGAGTCGATCAGGTTGTTTATTGTGGCCTGTGAAATGTTGGTCCACTCCTCTTCAATGGCTGTGCGAAGTTGCTGGATATTGGCAGGACCTGGAACATGCTGTCGTATACGCCGATCAAGAGCATCCCAAACATGCTCAATGGGTGACATGTCCGGTGAGTATGCTGGCCATGCAAGAATTGGGATGTTTTCAGCTTCCAGGAATTGAGTACAGATCCTTGCAACATGAGGCCGTGCATTATCATGCTGCACCATGTGGTGATGGTCGTGGATGAATGGCACAACAATGGGATTCAGGATCTCATCACGGTATCTCTGCGCATTCAAAATGCCATCAATAAAATGCACCCATGTTCGTTGTCCATAACATACGCCTGCCCATACCATAACCCCACCGCCACCATGGGCCACTCGATCCACAACGTTAACATCAGCAAACCGCGCACCCACATGACGCCATACACACTGCCATCTGCCCTGTACAGTGAAAACCGGGATTCATGCGTGAAGAGAACACCTCTCCAAAGTTCCAGACGCCATCAAATGTTAGCATTTGCCCACTCAAGTCTGTTACAACGTCAGGGCCGCCATCAGAAATTGTGGGGCCCCTAACACAGCTCAAGGTCTGGGCCCCCGCGTGCCTGCCTCCAAGCCCCACCCCCAAATCCCACCCACAGGAATACACACACACAGACACAAAAGGACACAGACACACAGAAAGATACACACATACTAACAGACACAAATACTGAAACAGACATACATATAGATACATACACAGATACACACACACACACTCTGACATACAGACACACACACTGTTGTACATACATACTCACATACTGACACACACATACATACTGACAAACAGACATACATACAAACTGACATACAGACATACATACACATAAATATATACTGACATATATACATAATGGCATACATACACATACATACTGATATACATACATACATACATACACACACAGATCTATACATACACACAGACATACTGACATACACACACAGACATACATGCATACTGACATGCATACTGACATACATACTTGCAGACACACACACAGACATACATACATACTGACATACACACAGACATACACACACACACACAGACATACACACACAGACATACATACTGACATACATACACACAGAGACAGACATACATACTGACACACACAGACATACATACTGACATCCACACAGACATACATACTGACATCCACACAGACATACACACACACACAGATATACATACTGACATACACACACACACATACATACTGACATACACACACACAGACATACATACTGACATACACACACACACAGACATACACACACAGACATACATACTGACATAAACACAGACACACACACAGACATACATACTGACATACACACACACAGACATACATACTGACATACACACAGACAGACACACACACAGACATACATACTGACATACACACACACACACACACACAGACATACTTGCAGACACACACACAGACAGACAGACATACACAGACAGACAGACATACACACACACACACACACACACACACAGACAGACATACTGACATACTTGCAGACACACACACACCTCATTTATCAGCCACCCTCCTCTTACCTTTAAGTTGCAGGAGGGTGGCTGGGGATGATGGGAGTGGATGCCTCTGGTGTCCCTCTCCTCCGCTCTCCCCCCGCGCGGAATAAGCCTCAGAAGTCTCAGAATCTCACCTTTATTAATCCCTCCTATCCCAGAACATTGTTAAGAACTCAGAATCTCACCTTTATTAACCCCTCCACTCCCAGAACATTGTTTAGAACTCAGACTCACACATTTATTAACCCCTCCATTCCCAGAACATTGTTTAGAACTCAGAATCACACATTTATTAACCCCTCCATTCCCAGAACATGGTTTAGAACTCAGACTCACACATTTATTAACCCCTCCATTCCCAGAACATTGTTTAGAACTCAGACTCACACTTTTATTAACCCCTCCATTCCCAGAACATGGTTTAGAACTCAGACTCACACATTTATTAACCCCTCCATTCCCAGAACATGGTTTAGAACTCAGAATCACACCTTTATTAACCCCTTCATTCATAGAACATGGTTTAGAACTCAGAATCACACCTTTATTAACCCTTCCATTCCCAGAACATTGTTTAGAACTCAGAATCACACCTTTATTAACCCCTCCATTCCAGAACATTGTTTAAAACTCATACTCACACATCTATTAACCCCTCCATTCCCAGAACATTGTTTAAAACTCATACTCACACATTTATTAACCCCTCCATTCCCAGAACATTGTTTAAAACTCAGACTCACACATCTATTAACCCCTCCATTCCCAGAACATTGTTTAGAACTCAGACTCACAAATTTATTAAACCCTCCATTCCCAGAACATTGTTTAAAACTCAGACTCACACTTTTATTAACCCCTCCATTCCCAGAACCTGGTTTAGAACTCAGACTCACACATTTATTAACTCCTCCATTCCCAGAACATGGTTTAGAACTCAGAATCACACCTTTATTAACCCCTCCATTCCAGAACATTGTTTAAAACTCATACTCACACATTTATTAACCCCTCCATTCCCAGAACATTGTTTAAAACTCATACTCACACATCTATTAACCCCTCCATTCCCAGAACATGGTTTAAAACTCATACTCACACATCTATTAACCCCTTCATTCCCAGAACATTGTTTAAAACTCATACTCACACATCTATTAACCCCTCCATTCCCAGAACATTGTTTAAAACTCATACTCACACATTTATTAACCCCTCCATTCCCAGAACATTGTTTAAAACTCATACTCACACATCTATTAACCCCTCCATTCCCAGAACATTGTTTAGAACTCAGACTCACAAATTTATTAAACCCTCCATTCCCAGAACATTGTTTAAAACTCATACTCACACATCTATTAACCCCTCCATTCCCAGAACATTGTTTAGAACTCAGACTCACACTTTTATTAACCCCTCCATTCCCAGAACATGGTTTAGAACTCAGACTCACACATTTATTAACCCCTCCATTCCGAGAACATGGTTTAGAACTCAGAATCACACCTTTATTAACCCCTTCATTCATAGAACATGGTTTAGAACTCAGAATCACACCTTTATTAACCCTTCCATTCCCAGAACATTGTTTAGAACTCAGAATCACACTTTTATTAACCCCTCCATTCCCAGAACATGGTTTAGAACTCAGAATCACACCTTTATTAACCCCTCCATTCCCAGAACATTGTTTAAAACTCATACTCACACATCTATTAACCCCTCCATTCCCAGAACATTGTTTAAAACTCATACTCTCACATCTATTAACCCCTCCATTCCCAGAACATGGTTTAGAACTCAGACTCACACATTTATTAACCCCTCCAGTCGCAGAACATTGTTTAAAACTCATACTCACACATCTATTAACCCCTCCATTCCCAGAACATGGTTTAGAACTCAGACTCACACCTTTATTAACCCCTCCATTCCCAGAACATTGTTTAAAACTCATACTCACACATCTATTAACCCCTCCATTCCCAGAACATGGTTTAGAACTCAGACTCACACATTTATTAACCCCTCCAGTCGCAGAACATTGTTTAAAACTCATACTCACACATCTATTAACCCCTCCATTCCCAGAACATGGTTTAGAACTCAGAATCACACCTTTATTAACCCCTCCATTCCCAGAACATTGTTTAAAACTCATACTCACACATCTATTAACCCCTCCATTCCCAGAACATGGTTTAGAACTCAGACTCACACATTTATTAACCCCTCCAGTCGCAGAACATTGTTTAAAACTCATACTCACACATCTATTAACCCCTCCATTCCCAGAACATGGTTTAGAACTCAGAATCACACCTTTATTAACCCCTCCATTCCCAGAACATTGTTTAAAACTCATACTCACACATCTATTAACCCCTCCATTCCCAGAACATGGTTTAGAACTCAGACTCACACATTTATTAACCCCTCCAGTCGCAGAACATGGTTTAGCACTCAGAATCCCCACCCAGTGTCAGAACATTGTCATACAGTGATATGAAAGTAACACTATTCAAGCAGGCTGGGGAATGTGGAGTGATGCCGTCGCGCTCCGATGACGTCAGCCCGGAAGTGTAGTGTGTCTGGAGAGTGTGCTGCTTGTTATTGTTGAATGAGACCTGGTGCTTGTGATTCCAGGCTCAGGAGCCGAGGTAAGAGCTGGCTGGCTGGGGGGACCCCATACATCTCATTTAGAGAGGAGCTTGATTTACCCCTGGGTAGCTATGGTTTCACATGTGGCTGCCTGGGATTAGTGAGAGTGTCCAATATCCTATAGACTAACCACTGTCTATTACAAGCTCTGTTTTACCTGGATATAAAAATAAAATTTAATAAAGTGGTCCATACTACTGCAGGATCCCTCCATCAAAACTGGGGCAGAGATGTGCACATGATATAGCTATAACACTGTGTGTTACCCACCACTGGGGGAGGTAAGGGGGTTATCTCTTGATTTTGTAATAACAGTGAGATGTAAACATTAATTACATTATTTATACCTAGCATAGTTCACCCTGTTTGTAAAGAACTTCAGTTTATGCATTATTATCAGAATCAGATAACCATGTTACATGATGGAGAACAGTGCCTCATTAGTTTAGATTTGAATGGATATTAGAGAGATTCTTGCAAAAATGTGGTAAATATTTTACTGTTTTCACTATGCTTTAATTAAAAATATCAATGCAAATGTTTAACGACTCGAGCATATGAAATGCAGTGTAAACATTGCAGATTACACTCATTCATATTTAAAGTTATAATGTAATATAACAACTTTAATGTACATTGTAATGTAGCAACTCTTCATGATTTACATTTTATTTTGAAAGAGAGGTATGATGTTTAATCCAAGATTAAAAAACAAACAACTATATGACATTTGGAACATTTTAAATTTAGCTGCAGAATTGCTGTTGATTTGCCTTGGCAAATTACATTACATAGGTACTGTACTATTTTTAATTAAAAAAAAATGTTTTTAATGTAGCTGAGAGAAACTTTGTTGCATTTCCAACTGCCGCCATGCTGCCAGTCATTTTAAATTTTTATATTTTAAGTTTTGCATCTTTGAGACAAAGTTAAAAAGAGTTACAGTAGCATGGATGTATATCGTTTCATATGATGTTTTACTCTGTCAGCCAAGACATTAAAACCACTGACCGGTGAAGTTAATAACATTGATTATATTGTTGCAATAGCACCCATTAAGGGGCAGGTTATATTTGACCTTAAGTAAAGTCAGTTCTTGAGTTTTATGTGTTGGAAGCAGGAAAAATGTGCAAGCGAAAAGATCTGAGTGACATTGACAAGGGCCGAATAGCAATGGCTAGACGACAAGGTCACAGCATCTCCAAACGCCAAGTCTTGTGGGGTGTTCCCAGTATGCAGTGGTTACCTACCCAAAGTGGTGCAAGGAAGGACAGCTGGTGTCAGGGTCATGGGCGACCAAGGTTTATTGATGCCTGTTTGGTCTGATCACACAGAAGCGCTACGTTAGCTCAAATTGCTTAAAAAGCATAATGCTGGCCACTATTGAAAAGTGTCAGAACACACAGTGCATCAAAGTTTGCTACATATGGGGCTGCGTAACTGCAGAAAGGTCAGAGTGCCCATGATGAGCCCTGTCCACGGCCAAAAGCACCTTCACTGGGTATGTGAGTATCAGAACTGGACCATGGAGCAATGGAAGCAGGTTGCCTTGTCTGATGAATTACGTTTTCTTTAAGGAAAGGTAGATGGCTGGATGCACATGCTTTGTTTGCCTAGGGAAGAGATAACAGCACCATGGGAAGAAGGCAGGCCAGCGGAGGCAGTTTTATACTCTGGGAAACCTTAAGTCCTGGAGATTTTGCTGAACATGTACACCTCTTCATGACAATGGTGTTTCCTGATGGCAGTGGCCTCTTTAAGCAGGATAATGTACCTTGCAACACTGCAAAAAATGTAAAGGAATGGTTTGAGGAACAGGACAAAGAGTTTAAGGTGTTGCCTTGGCCTCCAAATTCCCCAGATCTCAATACTATTGAGCATCTGTGGGATGTTCTGGAACAACCAATTCAATCCATCGAATCCCCACTTCTCAACTTGCAAGGCTTAAAGGATCTACCGATAATTTCTTGGTGTCGGATACCACAGGACACGTTCAGAGGTCTTGTGGAGTCCATGTCTCAAAGCATCAGAGCTATTTTGGCAGCATAAGGGGGACCTACACAATATTAGGCAGGTGGTTTTAATGTTGTGGCTGATTAGTGTATACTACCCTCTCATCAGTCTGAGTGTTTTCCTCATCGTATCACTGGGGGGGCTGCCAGTGAGGGAATTTAAGAGTTTGACATTGCTTCTTCAATGAAAGAAACCTGTTTTTATAAAGTAGTATAAGGTATCTCTTTTTTCTTCTTCTATATAAAAAATACTTTTTCCAAATTCATTATATTTCCAGCTCAACTATTTTGGTGTCTTTTTTTTTTTTTTTTAATTCATAGATTGATTTCTCAAAACTTAGTCTATAACTTTGATGGAAGAGCTTTTCCGGTGGAAGACACCCATATTCTAAATAATCAGTGTCCATCTTATTTTAAGCTAACGCATATTAAGTTGTACATTCAAGTCTTATTGCTCTAAAACTATTGCAATTCATTATATAATTTTACTTCTTTGCTAAATATTTGTAATGGAAATTGAGAAACTGTTTACCATCTATCTATACACTATACTGAACCTCTGTTTTCTTTAACGTGCATGGTTGAAATTACCATACAGTAAACCAGAGACTTGCATTTAAGGCACTTTATTGGTTTCTGTATTGCCAAACCTGTAGAGTGTAGCAACTAACTAATTATTCTTAGTCTACATAAATAACTTGCAATATTCTTCTTTTTAAGGATATATTTTCTTCCCTGGGAATTCTAATGGCTGCAGTCCATACTTGGAATCATAATCAGCCCAACACACATACGATCTTGGAGAATCGACTGAAATTATTGGTATAACACATCAGGTTATATAGGTAACTTGTCATGTCTCATTACCTCACATTATACCGAATCAGAAAGTATTATGGACATTAGTCAAAGATTACTTATTCTCACTAGACAGACATTACACTTAAAGGACCACTATAGTGCCAGGAAAACAAACTCGCTTTCCTGGCACTATAGTGCCATGAGGGCGCATTCGTCTATAGGAAAGCATTCTCAATGCTTTCCTATGAACGCTGGCGTCTTCTCACTGTGAAAATCACAGTGAGAAGCGCGGAAGCTCATCTAGTGGCTAGATTAACCCATTTGTAAACATAGCAGTTTCTCTGAAACTGCTATGTTTACAGCAGGCAGGGTTAATCCTAGATGGACCTGGCACCCAGACGACTTCATTGAGCTGAAGTGGTCTGGGTGCCTATAGTGGTCCTTTAACTTGACATTAATAAAAAGAATTAATGTAATCGACTATAACGGCCAACTTGACAGAGTTGCCGGTTTATTTATGTTTGTTCCATAAAATATTTACTGAATGGGAAACAACTGTTAGGAGCGAATTTAGGTGCATAGTTATTTGCGTAAGCAAGTTAAATAAATTCTAATGTTGTTTTTATATATGAATGATAATTTTAAGCAGCATTGAGCAGTAAAAGACAGAATGGATGCTGAGTACAAAGTGACGGGTTGGTTATCCGATTTTATCCTATCACTCTTGAAGGTTCTTTTACAAGTATCTTGATTCATTGCCTGCTGCATGTGTGAAGTTACCATTTAGACAGTTTAATTACGTTTTCCATTTTAAATTGCTGTATTTATTCAGTAAGTGATACATCATTAATGTGTATAAATGGAGGCATGGATAGCAAGAAAATAAGAAATAATAATGTTTCTCATTCAAATAGTCAAATAAAAACAACTTGAACCCTTCGTACCATTGACAAATACTGAGAAATAATATATTTTGGGCAGCTATGATAGATTAAGTGTAATATCTCTAGTGCATGTTCAGACCTCTGGATCTTTTTGTCAGAGTTTTTCTCTAAAAGACACATACAAGACGCAGTGAAAAAAGCCATAGATCTGCTCATTATTCTTTGTTTAGCCATATATATATTTTATATAGGCTAGATTGTCTTTAGTATTATCATTTGTTTCACAGTGTTAGGCCAGTAACACTTCCCTCTAAACCCCTTCATATCCAACTCAGGGGAGGAGGTACTGTAGTATTAGCCTACCATATCCAGTGATCATTTTTATATAATATCTAAAATAACTTTTTTTTTTATTTGTTATTAACAATTAATTTTATTTTATTTTTTTGCAGTTTAGTTTCACAAGGTTGTAAACAAGATGAATCGGCCCAAAGCAGCTGCCGTGCGCAGGCCAAGTGCCCAGGCCAAGTCATCAGGTTGGTTTGCCTGCAAGAGAGAGGGACAAATGTTTCACAAGTTAGATAAGACCTTGGTCAATTGGAACAATATCTTGGTGACAGTATTGTCACATGCACACCATAAAAGACAAAACACAAATTCCAGGAAAAGTGTTTATATAATAAGGTTCATAATATTTAGCAGTGCACAATCTTTTCTCATGTCTTTTTGTATTTTTTTTTCTTTTTAAATGACATGTAGGTCATCCACCTCCTGGAGATTTTATTGCTTTGGGATCGAAAGGCCAGAGCAGCGAGTCCAAAGCACCAACCAATCTTTTGAAGCCCACATCTTCTGGTATAACCTCTGAACGGAAGAGAGAGGCTTCCTCAACATTGTCTTCTACATCAACACTGACTGGGCTCACTAAGCGCCCCAAACTTTCTTCTACTCCCCCTCTTAGTGCATTAGGACGACTGGCGGAAGCTGCTGTAGCAGAGAAACGAGCTATCTCTCCGTCAATAAAAGAACCATCAGTTGTTCCAATTGAAGGTGCCTGTTTAATCTGTTGTTTACTTTTCATTGGATTGTTTTGTCTTCATTTGTCTTGCCACCGTTGAACTAACTTATTCCGTAAACAGTCCTCATTTCTTTATCTAGCATTTCAATTTTCTTGGCCTTGTATATCTTGTTTTCAAGGCTAATGAGAATGTTTCAGGTTATTGTATGCATGATTTCTTGTTATTTTTCTGTTGCTACAATTTGAAATAAATAGGACTTTCTTTTATTATTATATTTTAATAAAAATGCTACTCCCTTATCAATGGGAGAAACCATATTCTAATCGGCGTTCCCTCTAAGAACTGTTTTTTTTTGTTTTTGGGGTTTTTAAAGATTTAAGAATAATTATCTTTCATTAAAAAAATTGCATAGCCCTGGTTTTTAGTTACAGGCAAAACATGCTGTCGCTGAAAAACAAAATTATAGGTCCTTGTCTTTTATTATCTTTTGTTCGCGATAATGTAATGGTATTCCATTCTATTTTCTCTATCTTCTCTTAGTTCCTCCTGCTTCGCTACTGGATGACATAGAGGCTTCAGAATCTGATGGAAATGATGACCGAATTGAAGGTGTTTTGTGTGGGGCAGTGAAGCAGTTAAAAATGAACAGAGCCAAACCAGACCCCACGTTGTACTTAAGCTTGATGTTCCTGGCCAAAATAAAGCCCAATATTTTTGCCACTGAGGGTGTAATCGAGGTGAATATTATTACCATTTCCCTTTTTTTTATTGATTGAGCTTTATCGGGTATGGCCTAAGATTGATGCCAATAACTCAAACTACCCATGGCACAGTTGTAACAATAAACCATTGTTACAAATTTTCATAATCTTAAGCAGTTTTGTTGCTATTTTTGCCTTTGGACTCATTGCCCTCTGTCTTAAAGACTCCAGCAGTTCAATGCCTTCTTTGAGACCTTTCCCTAGCAGTTCAATGTTAGGGGTCAATCTTTCTCTTTTCCTTTTAGCTGTAATCAAATTTCCGCAGATCTTATAATCGAACAGACACACAACAAAGCTCCCTCTCTATCGGCACAAAGCAAATATGGAGGGCCAGCACTCCACTCAAGATATTGGTGCAAATCTCCAAGGTCTCCTTCCAATTACTTCACAAACGGTAGTAAAAAACCAATAAGGAGCCACAACACCAAAGCAGATGACAAAGAAATTTATTCCACCTGCGTGGAACCAGGAACAGTTCAACCAATCCTCTGGGTCTTTTTACTTGAGAAAGACCTTGAGGTTGGGTTGGAACGTTTTCGGTTCTACACAGGTGGAATAAATCTCTTTGTCATTTACTGTGGTGTTGCATCTCATTATTGTTTTTTTTACTACCGTTTGTGAAGTAATTGTGTTTTATTTTTTCTATCGGCAGTTTGCCTTCTCCGCTAACACATCATCACAATGAGGTCTTCTAAATCAAATGAGCATAAACAAAAACCCCAAGTAGAGTCCAAGTGTGTAGGACCATTTCTATAAACCGAGTAATGTTGTTTATGTTTTTATCAACAACTTAATTCAAATGTAAGTGTTTTGTTATTAAATTGACACTGTCATATTTCAGGCTCTATGTAGCTTGCTAAGACGAGATGCCACCATAAACTTCAAAGCCAAAGGAAACAGCCTGGTGTCTGTGTTGGCCTGTAACCTGCTCATGGCAGCATATGAAGAAGATGAGAACTGGCCGGAGATTTTTGTGAAGGTAGGCATAACTTCAGAACTTTATTTTCTCACTCTTTCTAGATGATTGCATTTCTTGCATTTCTTAATTCTAACTCCATAACTAATAGTAAAATCTATCGAGGAGCCTGGAAAACTTCTATATGAGATTTGGCGATGTAAAGATGCTAAGCAGTTTCCAGAAAAGTTACATTGATTCTTCTTCTAAGATGGATTCTTACAGAAAAGATACTATTCACGAACAGTTCCTTAATATTCTTTATTCTCTTTCAGATTTTTTTTCCCCAGTGAATGTTGTTTATTTCCTTAATTTGCCTTACGTTACACATTTTTCTTGCAGGTCTACATAGAAGACTCCTTAGGAGAGAGAATCTGGGTAGATAGCCCCCACTGCAAGACTTTTGTTGATAATATCCAGACTGCATTCTGCACTAAAATGCCCCCAAAGAGCATGGTCTTACATGGAGAGATTGGAAAAACAGGGGGTGACCTCAGTGCCGGTAGGAACTTTGTTATTCTTTAGGCATCCAAACTGTGCACAGACCTGTTATTTATTGCTATAGGTATTTACCACATCATTTAATTCATAAGTATCAGACACAACGGGTGGAAATCTGCCAGAATTAAGAATCTCTCAGGCACATCTATAACATTGTATGCGGCTTTTTATTTATCATGAAAACACTACAGGATTATACAGAGAGAATTCAATGTGAATTTAAGGTTAAAGTAACTGAACTGAAAATATTCTAAAAGTCAGCTATGCTCCCGGTTTGGCTACTTTGACCATCAATTTAAAATTCACTTTAAATCCTCACTTTAGTAAATAACCCTGTAGTGGTTTTTGACCTGTAAGAATAGGGTTCAAATTTTAACGTTTAATTGTGATGCAAAGTTCTCATATGTATTCTCAACCAAGCTGGTAACTCTAAGTTGACGGGACACCATGTTTGTATCTATCACGGCAATGCTTTGTCTCTAGGTAATCACTCCAATTATACTGTTTACATATATAGAAAATGAGCACAGGCTATTTTTGAGGCTACATTTTAAAAGCCAGAATCAAAATGTTTCCAGATCCACCTGGAGTCTTAGACCTGTTTAAAATGTGAATTGTGCCCTGTGGTTTTTATTGCAGGCAGCAGTCCTCACCCATCCCTGACAGAGGAAGAAGACAGCCAAACTGAGCTTCTGATTGCCGAGGAGAAGTTAAGCCCTGAAGATGAGGGACAAATCATGCCTCGGTACACTGAGTTTGTATTTTGTCTCTTGGAAATTTAAAGGAAAAGCTTTGTAGTTATACACTGTATCTATACTTTATGGAAAAAATGTCAGCAAAGGCATAGTTTGAAAGATAGACTTCCATGAAGATCATATATGACTTTCCCAAAATGATCACTGCCATGAGCTTACAAAGCATACATGTCTGCCCATGGGGTCTATATTTTTTGTTATTTAGTCAACAGAAGTGCCAGTGAAAGTAAAGGTATCCATAGTTGTATTTAATATTAAGGGTATTCGGTATGTTTTTGTTCCTTTGCACGTTTTTTAGCCACTTTAAAATTGCACTTTTGGCTTATTTATCATGGTGGTGTCCATTTTAATCAAGACTCCTGGACATTCTAGCTGTCTGCGTTTCAATGAAGAATTGGTTGTGGCACGTTTTGTGTTTGTCATACCCAGGTACGATGACTTGGCAGAGGGCGTGGAGGAATATGTGCTGGACATGCTACGTGACCAGCTCAACCGTCGCCAGCCAATGGATAATGTTTCCAGAAATCTCCTTCGCTTGCTTACCGCCACTTGTGGCTACAAGGAGGTGCGGCTCATGGCCGTGCAGAGACTGGAAATGTGGCTGCAGAATCCGAAGGTATGTTTATAGTTTAGTAGACACACAGTTATTTAATTTGTTTGTTTTGATGACACTAATGATGTTTTTCCTGTATACACATAACAAAATAATCCCCATCTATATCATCCAACACGAGTCATCATTCCCTCTCATGGGTACACTGCTATTCCAACAAGAACTACAGCTATTGTGTACTTCTGTCGGGTAACATCACACAGTGAGCAGTTAAACAGCTGCATTAAAGTTATCCATATTTCTTTGGTAGGGTTACGTAAACTTATGTACCAAACAGATGGGGGCTATTGTTTGAAAGTATCAGTCAGTCAAACAATTCTGCCATTGATTAGTCTTTTTTTTTTTTTTTGCGCACAGATATGGGATGCCTAACTTTCACTGTATTATTTAAATTATAGAAGGGTATTACTGAATGTTCATATCTGGGGAACAAATAGAACTCTATAGATCAGGTTTGCCCAAAAGATAGACCCCAGGTGTTTTAAAACTACAGCTTCCATGATGCTTTGTCATTCCAAAGGCATGCAGAGCATCATTGGGGTTGTAACTCTACGACATCTGGGGATCAGCCTTTTGGGCACCTCTGCCATAGAGCAAGTAAATGGACTGTTAATGTTTCTATAGCTATCATACCTTACTGGCCATGTTTTTTATTTATTCTCCTTTCTTTTCCTTTAATGCCAGCTCACGCGTCCAGCTCAGGATTTGCTAATGTCTGTATGCATGAACTGTAACACTCATGGGTCCGAGGACATGGAAGTGATTTCCAACCTAATTAAGATCAGACTGAAACCAAAGGTTCTACTCAATCACTACATGCTGTGTGTTCGGTAAGCTGCCCCACAAAGCTTTTTCACTACCTGAGTGTAAGATGACATTTTATTAAATCACCCAGGTCGTTATTACTGAATACTACTTTTTACATGTTGTCCTTTTTGAAGATTAAAACACATTTTTAATTTTTTTCTTCTTTTTTTTGTTTTGCACAATAGTGAGGTCTTGACAATGTGTTTGTAGCCTGTGTGGCCAGATCTTTTTGGTGAAGCAGTGTAGTATTATCAACGCACCTTCCAATTGTCCTGTTTTAGGTTTCCATGGTAATTGCTACATTTGGCCTTTAGACTTGTTTTCCCCTTGGATCCAAAGATCAGGGCTTAGCCTTCTGCTAGGCTATTCTTTGTACGTTTACAAAATTCCATCCATTTTTCCACCACTTCTCCTACTCCTAGTAATGGAAATCTCTAGAGGAGCAGAATCGGTTAGCTCTATGATTATGACTCCATATGTTGATTGGAATAATTCCTATTTAGTGATGTCCCGAACGGCTCGCCGTGGACTCATCATTGAGTAAACTTTGACCCTGTACCTCACAGTCAGCAGACACATTCCAGCCAATCAGCAGCAGACCCTCCCACCTCCTGGACAGCATCCATTTTACATTCATTGTGGAGCTGCATTCTTAGTGAGCTGTCCAGGAGGTGGGAGGGTCTGGGAAGGAGGGTCTGCTGCTGATTGGCTGGAATGTGTCTGCTGACTGTGGGGTACAGGGTCAAAGTTTACTCAATGATGAGTCCGCGGCGAACCGTTCGGTGAACCGTCCGGGACATCACTATTCCTATTAAATAATGACATGATGTCTTAGTATGGTGATCAGTCAAGTCAGATGGTCCATTTAGTTTATATCTATTGTAAAAGTACAGACTTAAATTTATCTCTTGCATCTACCTAAAGACATCTTTAATCCTGTCATTGTTTTAGTCTTGACTGTTTCTACCAGAAGGCTATTCCATGTATCTGCATCTTTCTCTAAATCATAACTTTTTGACAGTACACCTAAATTTATTTGAAACAAGTGTAATTTTTTTTCTTTTCAGTGAACTGCTGAATGCTCACCGAGATAATCTAGGCACCATGGTGAAGTTTGTGATTTTTAATGAGCTTTCCAATGCCAGGAATCCAAACAACATGCAGATCCTGTACACAGTGTTACAGCACAGCTCTGAGCTGGCACCAAAGGTATATCATATTTATTGCCTTATAACATCATAAGATGTCAAGGTCTATGTATCAATATAGTTGATGCACCCACCTCTGTTGGGAACTCCTCTCCCCCTTCTCGCAACTTCCATTCAGTGGATGCTCTGGGGTACCTGGTAGTCTATTGGAGGGAACAAGATGACCACTCATGGTCCAGGTTTTGTTGGTGTACAGAGTTAAGCACCTGAGTCAGTTTGGGCTTTTGTAGGTCATGGTTGCACATGGAACCCCTACTGGCATTCCTATTGTTGAACTAAATGGAGTATGTCATGTAACTTTTTTTCTCTATCATCCAGTTTTTAGCCATGGTTTTCCAAGACCTCCTTACAAACAAAGACGATTATCTCAGAGCATCTCGGGCGTTACTTCGAGAGATCATCAAACAGACAAAGCATGAGATCAATTTCCAGGCTTTCTGCCTTGGACTAATGCAGGAGAGGAAAGAAGCTCCATTCACAGACATGGAGTTTAAGGTAAAATGTTTTATTTTCGTAAAATTCCTCTCTGATGAACCTTTGATTCCCTGTAGAAGAGTAAATATTATTCATTTCTTTTTTTTATGTGTGTGGTAAATAGTTTTTGCTTCAGCTGGGACTGTTTTGCGAACGCACTAATTATTTGTAGGCTTGCTGCTACCTCCTACCCTAACCTTCTGTTTGCTTTCCTAGGAGCGCTTCGTGATGCACATAACTGACCTACTGGCTGTTTCCATGATGTTAGGAATTACAGCTCAGGTGAAGGAGGCTGGCGTTGCGTGGGACAAAGGAGAAAAGAAAAGTATGTTTCTAATCAAGATGGTCCCTTGCTCAGGATACCTCAACGGTCAAGTGTTCTACTGCTGTTTCCAGTTTTTGGTTCAATCTTTTATTTATTTATTACTGGCATTTATAAAGTGCCAACATATTCTGCAGCGCTGTACAATTGGGAAAAAGACAAACACAATATGAATATACAGATACAACAGGTAGAGGACCCTGCCCATAAGCATTGGGAGATGGGACAAGAGACAAGATTCATTTGTATGTGATTGCAGATATAATGAATAGTGTAACTGCAGTAGCTGATAACATATGAAGGGAATGAGGAGGTGATTGACTGTGCTTCCAAACAGCTGGAGGTGAATGCTATATATGTAGAAGAAACCAGGGTGGGCAGGAGGAGTGGAGGGTGGGCAGAACGAGTAACATTAAATGGCTTTCTTGTTGCAGGGATGGATGTGGGTTTAGATCTAAGGAAGAGCGACAGGACAGTTACTTAAAAAGAATTTAAAACTGACAGTGGCAAGCGGGGGTGGAGGAATAGAGCAGGCTAGCTATTTGTTATAAACAAATATTTACCAACCAAAAATCTAACGGCCAGATTATTAATAACTTCATGTAACCGCAAGTACAAAATATTACAGTAATAAACTATATGTAACAATGGTAGAATCATTATAGTAAAGTAATAATCCAGTAACAAAATGAAAGAAGTCCGGTTGAATGTACCTTTTAAAGCTGCAGTGTTCCAAAATAAATTGCCTTTTTGTTGCAGGGAACAACAAGAGGACATAGTCTTAAATTAGAGGGACAAAGGTTTAAAAATAATACTAGGAAGTATTACTTTACTGAGAGGGTAGTGGATGCATGGAATAGCCTTCCAGCTGAAGTGGTAGAGGTTAACACAGTAAAGGAGTTTAAAGGGACACTACAGATTTGTTTTCCTGGAGGTCCCCTCTCCCTCCCACCTCCCATCCCATGTTGCTGAAGGGGTTAAAACCCCTTCAGTGACTTACCTGAGACCAGTTTAGGGTCCGCCCACGCTCCTCCCGTGCCAACGTCAGCCGGCGGGGGAGACCGATTGCGCATTAGTGCTTTCAATGCTTTCATATGGGGATTTTAGCGACGCTGGAGGTCCTCACATAGCGTGAGGACGTCCAGCGATGCTCTAGCACAGAAAACCTGTGCTATAGACCAGGAAGTGCCCTCTAGTGGCTATCTAGTAGAGGAGGAGTTAACCCTGCAAGGTAATTATTGCAGTTTATAAAAACTGCAATAATTACACTTGCAGGGTTAAGGGTAGTGGGAGTTGGCACCCAGACTACTCCAATGGGCAGAAGTGGTCTGGGTGCCTGGAGTGTCCCTTTAAGCATGCGTGGGATAGGCATAAGGCTATCCTAGCTATAAGATAAGGCCAAGGACTAATGAAAGTATTTAAATTAGGCAGACTAGATGGGCCGAATGGTTCTTATCTGCCGTCACATTCTATGTTTCTATGTTTGGGTCTTTACAGCTGCAGTGTTCCAAATTAAATGGCCTTCTAGTTGCAGGGGAGGATGTGGGTTTGGGTCATCACCCTCTTTCTGTCATGTTTTATTCCAGGGTCTGTTCTTTAAGTTTGTCTAAAATATATTTATTCTTCTTCTATAATTAATGGTTGCAAGCTCTGTCATATTGCGAAAGGATGTTTATTAAACTGTAAACTCTGGATACTATTCCTTGCAGAGAATTCTAAACTGTCAAAGCCTGATCGATAACCAGGGTGGCAAGTAGCACAATTGTGGATTGTTGAGATAGGTAGTGCCTTCTCACATGGGTAAAATACAGCTTTGTTTGTCTGCTGTTTGTGTATTTATGATCTATTTATACATTCATGAATTTTTTTATTTTTTTTTAAGGTTTGGATCTCCTGCGCTCTTTTCAGAACCAGATTGCCGCCATCCAAAGAGATGCCGTGTGGTGGCTTCATACTGTGGTTCCATCCATCAGCAAGTTGTCCCCTAAGGATTATGTGCATTGGTATTTTTTTTTCTTTAATTTCCTGCAATCTGTTAATAAATGAAGATCCCTTAATATTTTTGTAAAAAGTCCTGTGTTTGGCCACAAATCAAAAGAACCCTTGAGTAAGTGTAAGAGAAAAAGGATAGATCTAATAGTTGGTCAAGCTCAGCCCTAAAAATTATTTAATTGCCAGGCCGCTGAGATAGCTCAGTTGTCTAAAGCCTCATTAGTAATGCTGGCAGGGTTGACTCAGCCCTTCATCCTTCCAAGGTAGATAAAACGAGTACCATTACATTAGGTAATAGTAACAACCCCTGGATGTTGGACTACGGTAAGATACCCATGACGTTCTTGAAAACCAAGGTAATCTGAATGTACCTTTCTTGGTTAAATACTTTGTTATTATTATTATTATTTGGAAAGATATGAGGAAATAGCAGAATTTTCATTTTAACTTGATACTTTCCGATAACCTCCCACCCTTGATTAAACATCACTTTTTTTTCTTCTTTTTAACACTATATAAATCCACTTGCCCAATGTGTTTTGTTCTTGTTACTTATACATTTTACACCCCAGTATTGTTCCTTTTTGTACCTTGCAGCCTGCACAAAGTACTCTTTACTGAGCAACCAGAAACCTACTACAAATGGGACAACTGGCCACCAGAAAGCGATCGCAAGTATGAACATGTTTTAAAAGACTAAAAGTAAAAATGTTGTGCAATTTATATGTAAAGGGAAATTACCATAAAAACACTCATAATATTATCCTATTTTTCTTTTCAATGTCCTCATACCTTGAAATTGTGTGCAACTCTTTGCCCAGAGATTTTATGATGTGGGCAGAATTGGGGCAGTGCTAACATGTGGAAGTGATCATAATAATAAAAAAAAAAGTAGGCACACATGACCACGAAGGGGCAAAGTCTGTTTCTTCCTACCCGCATGCCATAGTGCACACTGCTCCAAATTTTTTGTGAATTTAGTACCTAACTATATATTTTTTTTTTATCACAAAATTTATCATGTTTTTTTCTCTTCAAACAAGTTTTTTCCTTAGGCTCTGTTCAGAAGTGCCACTCCTAGAGGACACATTGATGCGCATTCTCGTCATTGGCCTATCACGAGATCTTCCACTGGGTCCTGCTGACGCCATGGAACTTGCTGATCACCTGGTGAAGAGAGCAGCTGGCGTGCATGCTGATGGTATGTGGTATAAATCTGATTGGTTTGTTGGAGAGGAATGCATTCGCTTGCTGTTCATTGTTTTTACCCTCTTGCAGAACACAAAAGCTTAAGTAATTCAGTAAGTATTAGTATAATAAAATTCCCATCATACGTTGCTAGATTTTGGGTACTCTTTTATACCATTCTAATTAAAAGAAGGTCTGCCACTCTGCTTGTGGACCAAATGTGAAAAATAAAAGGGAGTGCTTACTGTTGACTGATTGGTCACATTTTATACTGCTGCTTTAGGGTTCTATTGGATCAGTCCTGTTATTCAGACAGGTAGGGGGCAATCCTGGATTAAAAGTGCATGACCTGGAGCAGAAAAGTTGTTGAATCTTCCTAAAAAGAAGACAAACTTGCTTGAAAGAGATCACCCCAAATATAAATACAGCTTTTATATTTTTTTTATTATAATGATTTATTTTTATTTTAAGGATTTTTTTTTTTTTTTTCAGTGAGAAACGGTGACAGGAAGGGAGTAAAACTCCATACAACTTTCCTTGCTCAAAACACCGCAGGTCTCACCTAGAGCCTCACAATCCTCTGCCAATCCCTGAGACTCTGGATAAAACCTGGCAGATTTCCAGAGATAATGTATTTACTGTACTCTGCAGTCTGCAGTGTATAGGAATACATATAGTGTGTTGGGGGTATACACATAATACAAGTAAAATGAAATCAAAGAGATATAATCTTAAAGGGACACTATAGTCACCAGAACAACTACAGCCTAATGCAGTTGTTCTTCTGAGTATAATCATTGCCTTCAGGCATTTTAATGCAAACACTGCCTTCTCTCTGTTTACATTTCCCCCCCTAGGGACACCCCCAAGTGGCCACTCCTCAGATGGCCACTGGAGGTGCATCCTGGGGTAGTGCTGCACAGTAGGCTGCACTGCCATTCAGCGTCTCCATGCTCTGCACGGGGACGCTGAATTTTCCTCATAGAGATGCATTGATTCAATGCATCTCTATGAAGAGGTGCTGATTGGCCAAAATGGTGTTTGGCCCCGCCTCCTTGCTGATTTTTATTTTTTTTTTATTTTTTTTATTCTTTATTTTTGCGTGCATATAGGTAACAATGATGCATTCTTGGCAACAACGGCACTTATTCATAGTGTCAACTGACATGTATAACCTATATAGCTTTCATCGTTGCACAGTTTTATAATATAAGGTTAACTCTAGAGAAGAAAAAAACTTTGTAATCGTATCCTTAGTGCCCTTTGTGAGGGTGATGTGAGCGTGGTGCTGCTCTCTATGTGTCTGCCCCGGAGGGCTACCCCCTTTGCCTTTGTTCAAGATAGGCGTTATCTAAGTGGCCCGCAGTGTATCGGCAGGGGGGGGCTGAGGGTGTCGTAGTGTAATGCGAGTTAGTGATAGCGTTGCTTGGTAAGCATCTGCCACCCTGTGTGGTCACTCGTGGTATGTTGTGACGGTTTGCGCAGTCCAGTTGCGTCAGTCCCTAGGTGTTGCGGTTTATATGGTGGTGGCAGTGTTGGTTTTACTATGTGTGAACATATTAGAAAACACAAAAGAAAATGTTAAAGAGAATATTAAAGAAGACATGAAAAAGGTGTTGGTGGTTCTGCTGGGTTTGAGTCTCTGACTGGATAAGACGTTCCGTCTGCGTGGATGGTGGAATGTAAAGTAAGGGAGAGTCACTATACGTTGGCTTGTCGGTGGTTGCTCAAGTGGGCGATCCGCCTGGGGAGGTTCTGGAGGAGTTCCGTGGGGCAAAGTCCCGTATGTTATCTGGGTTCAGTTGGGCTAGCTCCGTCCGGACGCCGGTGCCGCTTGAAGGATACCTGTTGCTTGCAGGTGAGTTTCCAGCTCTTGTTTGTCTTGCGCCTTATATGTAGTCCTGTTGAGAGTGAATGATACGGCACGAGGGGTGCCCCATCTGTATGGGATTTCTCTGGCCCGAAGATGGTGCAGGAGGGGTTTAGGGCTTTTCGCCAGGCTATTGTGTTCCTGGTCAGATCTGGGAATGCTGTCAGTGATGCCCCTTCAAACAGTAAGGGAGTTTTTCCCCGCAGTGCAGTCACAAGCGAGTTCTTGTCAGCTTGCGTTTGGAACCTCAGTATGAGGTCTGCCGTTGCCGCTGTCGGTGCTCGGGGTGATTTCGGCAACCTGAACATGCCGTCCATTTTCATGGTTTTTGCCCGCTTCGGCGGGAGTAGGACTTCGAGGAGGCGCCTGATGTAATGGGGTAAGTCATCCAAGCTTACTGACTCCGGTATCCCCCTCAGCTTTAAGTTGTAGCGTCTTCTTTGGTCCTCTATGGTATCAAGCCTGTCATTGGTAGCGGTTTGCCATTTGACCAGGTCTGTGACTTTCTGTTCGATTGCATGAAGCCTTGTGTCATGGGTGCTTGAGCTGGCCTCTAACTGTGCGATTTTTGTCGTGGCGCCTTCAATGGCCTTTCTATAGTGGGCCATGTCTGCCGCCAAATCTTTGCGGAGTTCCGCCAGCATTGTCTTGAGTTGGTAGGCTGTGACCGGGTCCCCAGATTTTGGGGGTACCTGTCTGCTATCCGGTGGTTGCCTGTAGGATGCACCTTCCAGGATGTCGGTGGCGAAATCCTCCGACGAGTAGGAGGAAAGGTCGTCTTGCTGCGCCATTTTGGGCCATGCGGCCTGTTGCGAGAGCCAAAGCATCTCGCCAATGTCCCTCCCGTGGGGGCTTTTTTCGGCTTTTGCCTTCTTAGATTTCCTGCCCATGGTCTTTTAGCCCGTGCTTGGGTGGTTTGTGAGGAGGTTATGGGCCCGTTTTCCACCATATATCTCCGATTTTATACAGGTCAGAGACGGAGCTCCAAGAAATGCGTCCTCTCAGTTGCTCAGTCGGCTCCGCCCCCCCTCCTTGCTGATTTTATCCAGTGCTTTCCCTGTGGGGAGGGCAAGCCACCTAAATGGTGAATTAAACACTATAGGGTCAGGAATACATGTTTGTGTTCCTGACCCTATAGTGTTCTTTTAAAATAAGAAACTGCAAGACACCCTGTAAAGACCTTCAAAAATGCAAATGTTTGTCCAGAGATCTTATGATGTGGGCAGAAAGTACATTGGAACATCAAGCTTCATGGACTCTTAATTCAACTAGAAAATGCATGTAGGGAGGCAACCATTAACATAAACTCCAATGAATTGATACGTATCTCTTAATAGAAAATCAGAAAGGACTGTTGTATGACCTATTTTAATAAAATGATAAGAATCTCTGATAATAAACGTGGCATCATTGGCATCATTTTTGTTACAGTCTTGAAAATGAAGGGGGTGGGGGGGGAATTTCCTTTATTAACCCCCTTGAAGACACAACTTCTGGAATAAAAGGAATATTTCCATCATGTGTCCTTAAGCAGTTAAATAACCAAATGGAGGTTCACTGAAATCCTTCATTCACTAATATCATTATCTTTTTATGTTCTAGACTTCGATGTGGTTAAAATAGAGCGGATACAGCTTATTGATGCTGTACTAAATCTTTGCACCTACCATCATCCTGAGAATATCCAGCTACCCCCCGGGTAAGCAATGTTTACTCATTTTTTTTATTATAAATGTTAAATAATTTCATGGTGGGCATGGTTCTTTTGGTTTCCATTGCTTCGAGTGTGCACATCATTTTCGACAGATCGAAGGCACCTTCTCCACTGACACTGGGAAGAACCTAATTAACAGAGGTGATTTGCACACATAATTTAGAGTATATTAAAATTGAAGAATGGATAACTGGGCTAATGTTACATTTGAAGCTCATTCTATGGACCCCAATACAAAAATATTTTTTTTTTTTCTCTGTTTATAACTTAGCATTGTTCTTGATTTAGGTATCAGCCTCCAAATCTTGCCATATCTACGCTCCTCTGGAAAGCATGGCCACTCTTACTTGTTGTTGCTGCATTTAATCCAGAAAACATTGGTAATTATATAATTTACAATAACATTCTATTCATTGTTTTCCGGATGATCAAACTGGCCCTTTAACTATTCTGTATCAAGACAGCTTGGATTTTAACACAGACTTGCCAAATGCTTTTTCCACAAGGGTCTCTGGAATAGTCACGCTAGCTATAACAGGCCCATCACATTAGTGTGTTTGTATATAGCATGTAACCTGTTGCATTGGGGAGCAAACAGATTCCTCGTGCACCCACTGCAATGCAATGTTAATGTATCTTTATGCCGGTTTCCCTATAAATGAGCAATTTATAACTGGAAACATCTACGTGTTTTAGGTCTGGCTGCGTGGGATGAATACCCTACCTTGAAGATGTTAATGGAAATGGTGATGACCAAGTAAGTAAATATTTTGCAGATCTGTTTATTTCAGGCTTACCCAACTAGCACCCTGCAGCTGTTGTAGAAGTACAACTTCCAAAGCAACGTGGGATTTGTAGTTCAGTTTCGTCTACCTGTATTTTATGCCCTAATAAGACTTGTTCAGCCAAAAAAAACTAAAACGTGTATTATAATTTAACATTTTAGCATATACTTGCTCATCACAAGCAGCATGGAAAATTAATTTATTTTGTGTTTTTTTTTTTTTTTTTTTCTCTTCCTCCAAATCTATCAGTAATTATTCCTATCCACCGTGCACTGTGTCGGACGAAGAAACAAGGACTGAGTTAATCAACCGTGAGCTTCAAATCTCTCAGCGTGAGAAGCAAGAAATTCTAGCATTTGAGAGCCACCTCGCTGCTGCCTCCACCAAGCAAACAATAACTGAGAGTAATAGCTTGCTGCTATCCCAGCTTACCAGCTTGGACGCCCAGTGAGTTTCCAGCTTTGTATATAGTGGAATAATATGTAAGAGAGGTGAACAAATGTTCGATCCCCTGCTATTTGCAGAACTAGAACTCGTATGATGCTTCGCAAGCCTTAGGTTTTTGTCCACTCCTGGTTTGTAGCTTCATGTATGCAACGTTTGAAAGAATATATTATAATAGAGATTGAGAAAAATCAATAAAGTCAACACATAGCTGGACTCAAAATTACAAGGCCTAAGGGTACTGGCCACCAAATTTTTTTTGTTTTTTGTTTTTTTATTCATGACGCATCCGTATTGACCCAACCTCCCTGCTCTATGTATGTAAGTAACTAGTCACATATCCGAACTACCAGCGCAACTTTCAACAGATGCAGGTTCATGTACAGAAAGGGTATCAAGGTATTTTCTGTTTGCCCTGTATTTCAGAGGTCCTCCTCGGCGCCCTCCACCTCATGCCATAGAGCAAATCAAATCCTTGAATCAATCCTTGCATCTTGGTCAGCTCCTGTGCCGCAGCCGTAGTCCTGACTTCCTACTCAACATCATTCAAAGACAGGTGGGTGTTCCCAGATTTCATACTAGCAGAATACTGCGCAACCTCTGTGTAACCTTGAGTTTTTAATCACTGGTTCTGTGGCTGCAATGGGGAATATGAAGCATTCAATGTACCACTATGCTGCTATTTATTTTAAAACTGTAGGTTTACATAGATGGATAACCTGGGATCGAGGTTCATTGCATTCATTATTCCTTATAACTCCTTAATAATCCCATCCATTTAAGTCTCCTTCTGCTGCCGCCTACGACAGAGAGTTTCCTTTTAGTTGTATTACAACAGGTTAGGTTAAAAGAGCTTTCTAGGTATCCTGCCTCAAGGGGGGGTGTGAGGGTTGTCCAATGGAGTGAGCAGATCTGTAGCTATAGCAGTGGCACTCTTAGAAGAACAAGTAGAAACACGATCAGCATTCAACCCAGTGTTTCTCTCCCTAAATCACCAGGGATAGAGACATTACTCACAGTTGCATAACTTATTTTTATTCTACTAAGTCTACAGAGTTTCTTTAAGAATGTAAAACCTTAAGGTAGCCACAGTCATAAGAGCATGCGTCTGTATTGTACTGTACTGTAATACTCAACACCGAATGTACCTACAGACTTTTTTATATTGTTGTGTTTTTTTGAATACAAATTTTATTTATATTGTTTTACAGGCTTCTTCTCAGTCAATGCCCTGGCTTGCTGACTTGGTACAGTCCAGTGAGGGCTCCTTGGACGTGCTGCCCGTGCAGTGCCTGTGTGAGTTCTTGTTGCACGACGCTGCTGATGAATCTGGCGCAGGGGAAGATGATGAGGAAAACGAAAGCAAAGAGCAGAAAGTAAAAAAACATCAGGTACCAGATAATTAACACATTTAAAAAGAGCACAGCACTAAGCATGCAATATAGTAAAAGTTTTTTTGTTTTTTCTTTCTCTAAAACTTCCATTCGATACAATAGAAGCAGACTCGCATTTTTGATACATTTGTCTTGAAATCATTGGTTGTAAGAATATACAAAGTCTACAAGCTAGAAGTTCTCTCTTTCCTGTTTCAGAGGCTACAGAAACAAAGGCAGCTTCTCAGACGCCTGCAGGATTTACTGCTGGGCCCTAAAGCAGACGAGCAGACGACTTGTGAAGTTCTTGACTACTTCCTGCGCCGTCTCAGTTCTCCCCAAGTTGCTTCCCGTGTGCTTGCAATGAAGGTAAAGATATTTTAATATTCTTATGTTTGTGTATTAGGAGGTGGTGTACGACCGTATCCTGCTTTCTACGTATTAAACATAGTTCTGTCACCTTCTTAAAGGGTCATTCTAAGCATCATAGCAATGACGACAAATTATTGCAGAGTATACCCTGCTGTCTATCCTCTCTGAGAGTTGTTTATAACTCCAATGATTTTCTATGGAGAGAGAGAAGCCGCAGGTGGCTCTTCTAATTGCTGCACACAGCTGGGTTCACAAACCAGCAGGCAGCTACAGTATCCCTGCTAATCATTTATAATGAAGTCCCAGTCTTTTTATGTGATGAGTGGAACTACAGCTAGTGGGATAAACAACTTATCCCATAGACTCCTGCTGAAGAGGGTTTTATGGGATACGATCAGACTCTATAGAACAGAATGATAGACTCTTGATTGGAACCTATTCCTGGTGGTGGATGAGAGGGGGGAGGAGAATCTGTCTATTTGTAGCAGCTGTCAGCTTCTCTAAGTTTTGCTTGCTAATTATTTTTGCGTTTTTAAAGGGACACTCCAGGCACCCAGACCACTTCTGCCCATTGGAGTGGTCTGGGTGCCAACTCCCACTACTCTTAACCCTGCAAGTGTAATTATTGTAATTATTATCTACTAGACAGCCACTAGAGGGCACTTCCTGGTTTCTAGCACAGGTTTCCAGCGTCGCTCATTTCCCCATAGGAAAGCATTGAAATGCATTCCTATGGGGAGCGCTAATGCGAATGCGCATTAGGTCTCCCCGGCCGGTGGGCGGGATCAGTCTCGCACATCGGCTGACGCAATGCGGAGGAGGAAGCTGCGACGTGGGACATCGTTGCTGCCTCAGGTAAGTTACTGAAGGGGTTTTGACCCCTTCAGCAACCAGGGATTGGGGGGGGGGTGGGAGGGAGAGGGGACCTGCAGTGCCAGGAAAATGGATTGTTTTCCTGGCACTGGAGTTTCCCTTTAAGGCATTATCTATATGTTTCATGAAAAGCATTATTTAATTCTCACCCCATTTTCCCCTTTAAATATAAATCAAGAGTCAGAGGAAAAACCATTTTAGCCTGAAACATTGTTTATTTTTAATTATTTATTTAATTTTTTTGTAATTATGTATGGACAAAATATTCCAAAACATTGACAAGCTCCACCGGCATGATGATTTTACTTTTGAGTAAGGTATGTTAGTCTTTTAGTCAAAGCTTTTTCTGTTTCGTAATCGCTAAAATCTAGTAAAACCTTGATCTAGTCACCATTTCAAGATATAACCATATTTAGTATTGACCATTAGGAATCTGTTTTAAAGAAATATTATTAACTCGTACTGTTAAAAAAAAAAAGTTTATAGATCTGTTTTAAACAAAATGTATGATGTCATGACACCAATTTAATCGTGATTATGTCTTGCCAGGGTCTGTCCATGGTGCTTTCGGAAGAAGGCCTGCGTGATGGAGAGGAGAAGGAACAACCCATGAATGAAGACTCTGGGGACTCTGAACTAATGCAGGGCTACCAGTGGCTACTTAGAGATTTGCCCAGTCTTCCACTATTTCACAGTGTTAAAGGAAATACAGCCGCAGCTTTGCAACAGGTATGCACAAAGCATCTTCTAACGGAGCCGGAATTCTGTGTGACGTTACATTAATGGATGTTTGTATGTAAAACACACTATAGCCTCCTTATTTTTGCCTCTTTATTTGCATAACATATTTAAAGATACCTGATCGGATATTCTAAACACGAAGCTTGAATTCATCTGGCAACATTTAAAACTTTCCTTTTTGATATACTTTAGAAGCAACTCATGCAGCAGTTTCGATGTAAAAATGACACTGGTGTATTTTTGGGGCAGTATTCATATTGCACATATTCAGGAATACATTTTGTTGGTTTTCTGCCATGTTTGTCACAGTGGGCCTCTGCACATATTTCCTGTCAGTGTGTCGCTTTTTGTGGCCACCTTTATATTTGTGAAAGTCCAAAAACTGTGAATCCTCAGGGGAAGGCAGGTCTTTACAGGTGGTCCCCACATGCAGAGCTGACCAGCCTACAACTGACCCTCATAAAAAGAAAAAAATCTCAGGCACTCACTGTGATTGTGTCCAGGCAGGTTTGCAACGTTTCGACCTGTCAAGGTCTTTATCAAGCATAAAGGTCGAAAACTTTGCAAATGAACCTGCTTGGACACAATCATAGTGAGTGCCTGAGATTTTTTCTTTTTATGGATATTCCGTGTGTATTTTTGCTGACCCATGCTCAGTAGCACCCTGGATTGAAATATGGTGGCTGAGTGCGACCCTATCTTTTTTCCATTACAGCTGACCCTCAGTGTAGTGCGGAATTGACAGAAAATGAAACAGACAGAAGCAGTATACGTCGAAAAATCTTCTGATTTATTGCGTCTCCATATATTATACAATAATAGTAAACAGCAAGTTGTCTGTTTAAGGAGATAAATACGTCCGTATACAGATGGTTTGCAGCAATAAAAGAAAAAAACAAGATAAAATACTATCTCTAAGAAATGGCAGGGTACTGGCACCCTTCCCAGAACACGAGAAACAACTAAAACATCTAAATACATTTAGTAATTTTCCACAGGAAAACAAAATGGAGGCTATAAAATGACGTTTGACTAACAGGCTATATACTTTAAATCACATGAAACATAATAGTCAATTACATCATTTCATAATTAAATGATAAAAATGTTGAACCCGTGATTTATTTTTCGGTAAATGAGAAAAAAAAGAAACAAAGTACAGATTTTGAGTCATTTAGAATTCTGATGATGTTTGTTGTAATATCGTATCGTATTGTATTTTTTTTTTTTTTTTCAGGCAATTCACATGGAGACAGATCTACAGACAATCAGTGCTTATTTAGTATACCTTTCCCAGCATGCTCCAATTGAAGATCAAGGTCAGCACAATGAACTCTCTCTGGTGAGTAGCCTATGTGTATATCTACAATAAATCTATTTTCACCAGATACATCTATTGCCTATTTGCTTTGATTTATCTTTTCCGCTATTATTTATCTTTCTGCTGTTTCATTGCTTTGTGGCATTTTAACCAGCCCTTTAGTACTTAACATGCTAAATTCTGAGTATATCCTTTTGTACTAAAGGTTTTTATTTGTGTTTTTGTCTTGCAGGACGTGGCTCGTCTCACAGTAGAACGTTCCACTCTAATGACCCACCTTTTCTCCAAGATATCTTATTGCTCGGAATCCAACGCTGTCCTCTCTGCTCTGCTTTCCATCTTCTTTTGCTATGTTAGGCGTATGCGGAAAACCAAAGAAGGGGATGAAGTGTATAGTTGGGTACGTATTTTATGCTTTTAGTTTTATTTTTCCTTGTTGTTTTGCTTTGGGGGGAAGTGCGGTGTCCATTACATGTATTGCTTTCTGATGTTTGACAATTCTCTTGGCCGGCACTGGGGCTTGATGTATGTTTGAAGTCCCAGAGACAAAGATTTTAGAGATGTACGACGGTTAACTAATTTTATCTAATTTTACAGTCTGAATCTCAAGATCAGGTTTTTTTACGTTGGACCAGTGGGGAAACTGCCACTATGCACATTCTTGTTGTCCATGCCATGGTCATTCTGTTGACTCTTGGACCTCCTCGTGGTAAGGTTTTTTCTCTCCTTAGAACAAAGTGTCTTGGAGCCTGTCTATGTAGATCATGTTAATTAGCTTATATACATGCTCTTTTCTTCTCTCTATTTGGCAGGTGAAAATGATTTCTATCCTTTGCTTGACATTTGGTTTCCTGAGAAGAAGCCCCTTCCTACAGCTTTTTTGGTGGACACTTCAGAGGAGGCTTTGCTTCTTCCTGACTGGTTAAAGCTGCGAATGATTCGCTCAGAAGTTCCACGTCTTGTAGATGCTGGTGAGTTTACACTTGCAAGCTGATTAACTGATTCTTAACATGTTTTAAGAATAGATTTTGGTTTTGTAAAAATTTCTAAATGATCCTAAATTATAATTTCAAAGATGACAAAACCTATTTTTAAATATCTTTTTATTTTTTAATTTTTTTATTTTTCTATTGTTGTTGTTATTGTCACATTAAAAGTGTTTATTCCCAGGAATACAAGTTATAAAAAATTATATTTTGGTAAATAGAATATTGTAGATAGAGATGTGTGTAACGTATGTGAATTATATTACAAACTAGCAGTTCTTTATTGAAGCGGGTGCTCCCACAAACCAGTATCAGTATCTGTAGATGATTATTCTGTGTGATGTGTTTTCAGCCTTGCAAGATCTGGAGCCTCAGCAACTGTTGCTTTTCGTCCAGTCTTTTGGGATTCCAGTGTCCAGTATGAGTAAGCTCCTGCAGTACCTGGACCAGGCAGTGTCTCATGAACCTCAGGCCCTGGAGCAGAATATAATGGACAAAAGTAAGTCTGAACTCAAAGTGAACAGACAAAGTTTTTTGCCTATGCTACATACATACAGCAGAATACATATTACATGTTATGTCATTACACATAGGGTAACCGCATGCTTGTCAATGTTTGATGAATATGATGTTGTGTTGAACAATTGCCGGGTCTTCTGCTCATTTTGTGTATATACCTTAGAACCTATTTTTTTTTTCCTCTTCAGAGCTGCTGGGCTTTGTCTCAAGAACAATGCTAGATGATTACGGATGATTCTTTGCTTGAGCCACCTGCTTTATAAACTAATTGTGAATTCCTTCCCTATCATTTTATTGCCTACTATATACCAGTCATGGCCAATAGCTCTCAGGCTCTGGTCTGAATGTATTCTCCCAACATTCAGGTGATCTTCAAAATCAGAAGAGGATTGAGTCCAAATTACAATTGTCTTTGAATTAGATGTGGTAATTGCAAAGGACAAAATCGTAATTTCCGCACATTACAAATGCAATTATCAATTCCTCCACTGTTTATATGATGTGATTTTGCAAGTAGGACAATTTAGATGATTACGGATGATTCTTTGCTTGAGCCACCTGCTTTATAAACTAATTGTGAATTCCTTCCCTATCATTTTATTGCCTACTATATACCAGTCATGGCCAATAGCTCTCAGGCTCTGGTCTGAATGTATTCTCCCAACATTCAGGTGATCTTCAAAATCAGAAGAGGATTGAGTCCAAATTACAATTGTCTTTGAATTAGATGTGGTAATTGCAAAGGACAAAATCGTAATTTCCGCACATTACAAATGCAATTATCAATTCCTCCACTGTTTATATGATGTGATTTTGCAAGTAGGACAATTTGTATGTTGTCTGTTACAGATTATATGGCTCACCTGGTGGAGGTTCAACACGAGAGAGGAGCAACTGGAGGCCAGACCTTCCACACCCTGCTGTCTGCTTCAATATCAAACCGACGAGGTAGTTACTTGTCAATTTATTTTTGTTTGATTGGCTGAGATTGAGACACAGTAACATTTTCCCCCACGTTCTCACATACAGGAGCTAATATTAGGAATTGTGTGACTGCAGATATTTGTGGCCGTTTTCTCACAATGCTTATCTGCAAAAATGATAATCACAGACTTCTACAGGTTCATGCTTAAAAAAAATTAATCTTAATTTTCTTAATCATACTAACTTTACATTCATCAATTTTGTTTTGAGATAAAAAAAATAAAATTAAGTTTCAACAGTTTTTCGTAATGATTTCATGAATCTCAAGCTACTTGCACTAAATCTAAATTATGGGTATTTTGTGCACCATCCCAGACCACCTTTAATACTTGTTTTGTTTGGGTTTTTTGTGCCAGATCTTCATTAAGACAGTGCTATAAAGTGTGCATGTCATGCTGGAATATCGTAGCATCACTTTATAGATAATATAATTTTATGTACAGTTTGTCCTTACCAAATTGGTAGAATAGATTTATGCATACCTTATCAATGAGAGTTGGCCTATATGACCTCTGAAGGTACAATCCATAGAACTAGCATTGGTCCAGGAATATCCCAATACAAATAAAATAAATAGCATTAAAAAAAAAGAGTTGTGCTCAATAGGTACATGGCAAAAAGTTCCACTTTCCTAAAACCAAAACAAATTAAAATTCCTATGATTAAGAATCGAAGTGACTGAAACCTATTAGGGCATTTTTTTTTTTTTTATTATCGTTACCCCGTGTATGACCTCCGCATACAGGTATAAACTACAAATTTGGCCAAATAGTGTGATGCAGTGCACCATAACTTAGGGGAAATAAATCCGCCTAGTAACTTTTATCGAGATGACCTCGAGGGATGCGGAAGTCAGTCTACACTATTATACTTTTTTATTCTGTTTGCTGGCAGTCATCACCAGCACAGAGCATAAATTACATTTGTATACCTGACTGAGACACTTTTGCGAACAATAAGTCCTCGTTGTACTATTCAAAATGAGCTTCTTATATGTGTGTTAATATTTTGGTACTGACGTGGCCTAAATCTGAGCTGAGAAATATAGCATTCTTTGCTAGTCAAGCAATATAGCACAGAGACCAGTGCCTTCCACAAGAAATATGTGTTTTGTACATTTTCTTTATCACCCTGATATTTTATCCTGTTGCCTTCAATGAATGAAAGTGTGGACTGTCATCAAAGAAAAATGCTTTATTCTGTGTGCTTCTCATTTAGATCGCAAATGACCTTTAATGCGTTGTCTCTACCCTAGCTCTGTTTTTATGAATGCAGAATATAAAAGGGTCTCATCTGGATATATATTCATTAACCTCTTCTAAGATCACTTTTCTTCTGAAGCAATAAGGACACTCTGTCTCCTACCAAAGGCTTATTATCCCATAAATCCTAGCACAGCAGGAATTTGTAAATAGACCAGAAGTTTTGTGAAATTTAGATTAGTTATCGTCTTTTTACATATTAAATCTATTCAGTAAATTACAACTCCTAGAGACCTTTGCTGTGCTTTCTTTTCAAATATTTTTTATTGAAAAAGTATCTTGCAATGTGCTCTCTGATGATATGTACTGTGTTATTAAAGCAACACTACAAATATTGCATGTAAAAAGTAATGGAAAAAGAATATTGGTCCATGGAGCAAAACTGTATTTATTCATTATGAAAAAAAATATTTGTTATATGCAATCACACTTGATAATGCAGACATGTAGCTTGCTCATTATCAATGCAGCTGGATTGGGGTCAGTCTATGAGCTCCAAATTACAGTATATCAGGCAGATAAAGAGAAAAAAACGTACCTGTATTAATATTCTTACTACCGGTCTGTCGGGTGTCTCGTTCTGGGAAGTGCCTTCTTGAGGTTCCACTTTGGTTACAGTTACAGTGCTGTATGTATATAAAAGTTGTTTTGGTGCTTGGAGTATCTCTACACTGTATAATATTGTTAGGATTTGGTTTGAGTAATTAATGTTTTTTTGTCTACAGAAAGTACAGACACAGTGAAACGAAAGCCCGTCCCTGAAAGTCCCCCAGGGCAGGTACGAGCAAGAGCACTGACTCAAATCCCTGTTCTGGGTCCTGAAGATGATCTGGCTGGAATGTTCCTGCAGGTAAAGGAAAACTTCTACTGGATAATCATAACCCCTTTTAGTATGCATTGTTTAAGATCAATGAGCACTAGATGTTTCCTGTTTTAATTTTTTTTATTATTGTGAATGAACGGCATTAAAATTAGTTTTCTAGCAACTGTTACTTCTCAATGTTTCATAAAGATATAATATTTATGAAATATTGATGTTGAGTGCCAAGCATTGTCCTATAGTAATCTAAAGATATAATAAGATAAAATAGGGACTAGTTTGTGCAAGCCTGAGCCTGACAAAAGGCAGAGCACTGCCTTCAAATATTCTCCAATACCTGCAGCTGTCACAAGTGACTTCTGTGGGATTCAGGCATGGTCTCACTCACTGTAGACCACAGTGCTGAACTCTCGTGGCTCCTGGCAGATGAAGCTCCAGGAGCCAAAGAAGACCACCAGGAAGAAGATGGTGGCGGCCACGAGGGACACCTTTCACTGGGCCCCACGGCTACGGGAACCTAACCAGAGATGTCACCTTTTGGAGGTCTTTGCAAAGTATGCGAAGAAAAGAATTGTCACTACTGATATTTTCACTGTCCAGCCATGACATGTAAATTACATTAAAGCCACACAGTATTTTAGAGTGGGGATGAGTAGATACTGAGAAGCAAGGTTAACTTAATAAAGGGACACTTCAATCACTAAAACCACTTCACCTTAAAGAAGTGGTTTTGGTGCATAAATGACGCTCCTTTTCTCAGAAAATAAAATACTTTTTGCCGTTTACGAGAAAAGGTAATGTTTACTTTTTGCAAAGAACACACCTGTAGTGGCTGTCAACCAGACACTTGACAGGCTGAAATCCTACAATTTTCAAAGATCTTAACATTTGACATCATCACAAATAGCACGGTGAAGTCAAGTGCCTCCAATGCTTCCCATAGAGATTGCTGTGCATGTGCTGCATGACCGCTTGTTAGAGTGCTTTTTAAGCTCTTCAATGTAACTGTTCTGTAGCAATGTGTGGTAGACATAATGGCAAGTAGTAGACTGACTGTGCTAAAATTTTAACTATTGGCTGACACTGGAAATAGTCAGTTTTAAAATTTAACTGCTGGTACTGAGTGAAGTTCTGACCTGTTTTCCCATTTGGCCTTTTTTTGTGATTATCCAACAAATATTTTCTTATTCCCCCAACCTTTTTTCTGTTTCAGCTTTTCCCATTAAACCCAGATCCGCGGTGGCAGAACAACAACCCTCGACCTATCTCTTTGGCTCTGCAGCAAGCTCTGGGTCAGGAGCTGGCTCGTATTCGTCAGGGTAACACCCAGCTGACTGGCATTGCAGTGCGTTTGCTCCAAGCAGTGGCAGCATTACTAAGTTCTCCACACAGCGGAGCTTTGGTCTTGGCTATGCATAGGAATCATTTCATCTCTTGCCCTTTGATGCGTCTACTCTATCAGTACCAAGTGAGTATTTCCTGAAATGTCATTTTGTGAAAATACAAATCTATGTTTGTCTTTGTATCATGTCTCTCCCAAAAGCACCTGAGGAACCCAGGTAAGTGGCAAGCTGTTAAGAAATCAGTTGACTGCTTACTATTCCATGTTTTTATGAGTCCTTCACTGTATCTTTAAAAAAAAAAAAAAATGTAAATACATATACTTCCCATAAAAGTTCTCAGCCAATTCACAATAGTGGGCCTCATTAAAGCTGCAGAAAAAACTTCTCCCAAAGCAGGATGAGATCTCCAATCAGGAGAGTCGTATTCTAGTCACTGTGGTCTGATCTTATATAGTGAACTAACAATCTATTATTGCTTTATGTATACATGTTTTATGCCCATCCAACAGGATAAGTGGAACTGCTATTTAAAGGAGCCATAACACAGCTGTTATCAGTTTACACACAGCCCGGTTCACCGTGTTGCTATAAATGGGACCAGATGAGTTGTCCACTGCTCACCTTATTTTAACCCCATTAAGGACACATGACATGTGTGACATGTCATGATTCCCTTTTATTCCAGAAGTTTGGTCCTTAAGGGGTTAAAGGGAGGAGAGGAAGCTCACTCCAAGTTGCAGATGTTGCATATACACACCACACGCACAACTTGGCCAGAATTAATAAAAGCAACCCAGACTGTAAAAATCAGGACTTGCCTGATTGTCAGCTCTGAGGGACAGGCTTGGAGATGGGGAGGTTTTTACATATCGTTGCAGTTCTTATTAGCCGCTCAAAGCATGTTCAGGGTGCTCTGTGCACCACCAGCTACGCAAAAAATGCAGAATACTGTCCCTTTGAACTACATGAAGGAAACACACCTTTTTAAAGTTTAAAGCTGTATTACACATTTCTCCTGGCAGAAAATTGAGCAGTGAGACTGCAGGGGCATGATCTATACATAAAAACAGATTCATTAGGCTAAAGTTATTTTGGTGCAAACTTAAACAAAAAAGCAAGTTGTCTTAAAAGCATATTCCTGAATTTAAGACAACACAAAATTGTTGGGGTAAGTGAACCCCTCTATCACTTATATTTGTATTCGCGCTCCACTAGGTGGTGTATTTTACACTACATTTCTATATAAAGTTATTTTGTTGTCTCTTTAAAGGAACACTATAGTCACCTAAATTACTTTATCTAAATAAAGCAGTTTTAGTGTATAGATCATTCTCCTGAAATTTCACTGCTCAATTCACTGTCATTTAGGAGTTAAATCACTTTGTTTCTGTTTATGCAGCCCTAGCCACACCTCCCCTGGCTATGATTGACCGAGCCTGCGTGAAAATAAAAACTGGTTTCACTTTCAAACAGATGTAATTTACCTTAAATAATTGTATCTCAATTTCTAAATTGAACTTTAATCACACACAGGAGGCTCTTGCAGGGTCTTGCAGGGTCTAGCAAGCTATGAACAACAGAAAATCTTAATTAAACAGAACTTGCAATAAAGAAAGTCTAAATATGGCTCTCTTTACAGGAAGTTTTTATGGAAGGCTGTGCAAGTCACATGCAGGGAGGTGTGACTAGGGTTCATAAACAAATGGATTTAACTCCTAGAGGATTGAGCAGTGAGGCTGCAGGGGCATGTCCTATACACCAAAACTGCTTCATTAAGATAAAGTTGTTCAGGTGACTATAGTGTCCCTTTAAGTTTCATTAAATGTAATATTTTATAAAAATTGATGACCATTGTCCTTTAAATACCCCCATGGCAGAGAGGTCTGTTAGTGAATGCTCTACAACAAATTCAGACCCCAAACCAGACTATGAAAAGTATTGATGATGACATCAGACCTCACAGAGATGCTCCTAGTCTGGGACATTTTACAATTGTGAACATTATATTTACAACAATGTAGCATTTTTCTAGATATTTAATTAGTTGCCTTTTTTATTAAATCTATTTTCTTTATACAGCGCAGCGTCCCCCAGGACACCGCCTTCTCCTCACTGTTCTTCAAAGTCCTTATGCAGATGTTGCAGTGGTTAGACACTCCTGGTGTAGAGGATGGACCACTTCGTGCACAACTGAAATCCTTTGCCTCTCTGTACTCTTCAAAGCACAGGATTAGTGATGGTATGGTGGCATTTTGCTGGAGTCATTGCGATAGTCTTCAAGTCAAAGAAATTTTAGTTTCATGCTGGGTTCTTCCTGAATTAAATTACTTGCATATATTAATCATTGCAATTACTTGCTTTGTTCTAAAAACCAGAAATAGAGGAGCGGTCAGCTACTGGGCTGTTTTAATGCGATGAATTTAAATTCGGGACAATGTTTTTTTCATTCTTTAAACCTCTGTACTGCATATTGTCACTGTATGTGTGAATGTTAAAGGTTAATTCAGTTGATTTTAAGCATCTTATTATTGGCACGGTTGTTGATATTCTCTCTAGAACATATTTATTATTAAGATATTTAAAAAAAATAATAATACTAAAACCTTGTAAAAAATGCATTTACAACATGGAATCTGGTAAAATATTAAAGAGACAAAACGATTAGAACCGTGAAACACTTTTGTTATTAAATATTTTAGATTTATCACGTGTGCAGAGTGCACATGTGATGATCGCAACACTAGTGAGAATTCTGCTGCCATATCTGGACTATACACACGCTTTGGATTTATACAGTCTGCTTAACAGTGGAAACTAGATATAGTTAAGGTTATTCACTAAAGTTAGAATTGTTGCGGTTTCAAAGGGAATTTCAAATTTAAGGCCAAAGTAGCCAAACTTGAAGCATAGCTGACTTTAAATTTTTTCAGATCAGCTATTTTGGCCTTTAATGTAGTTTTACTACACACAGAGCCTGATTTCCTTACTGCTTGTGCATGCTGACTGTAGTGGATATGGTGCCATGGATGAGCTAGCGCACCCCATTGTAAGTAGGCAAACGGTTTTGGAATGGTATGACTTCTTACCTGGGGTCCGCTTGGCACTTACAGTATCTTTACTGGAGATCCTGGGCAGACTGACGCTCTCAGCCAATGAGCTATGTTTCTGCTAAGGAACTTGCGGCTCTCACATTACTGTAGTGGAGGTAGGGAGTGGCGCTAGGTGGACCCTGTGGAAGAAACCAAACTGGCATCATAACTACTAGAGCAAGCCGCAGTGGTTAAGGAGCTTGGAGTGTTCCTTTAAGGATGATGGTAATTTATTTTATGTGATCTGTTTACATGGTAATCACTCTGATCATTTTATGCTACTATTGTTATTCAACATTTAAATGACTGGTAAAGATATGGTGTGAATGTTTGTTTATTTAAAAAAAAATCTTTTTGCTTGTAATCCCCACTAGCGTACATTGTACAGCGTATCTACATCTTTACTCGTACATTTGCAGTCACAGTCTCACAACATGCAAAACATTGTTTTATTTATTTTTTATAGTTATATTTTATTTGTTTTTTTTAAAATATATTATCTGTATATATTGCAATAAAAAGGTGCAAAGTGCATTATTAATTTTAAATATAAAGATCATTTTGTATTTTTCTTCAGTACGTGGGGGATTTTTGCACCTAGCAGAGGCACTTGCATTCTGCCGTGAACCCGATGTGATAAACTCCACACTGCGTGCCATAATTACCACTCTGAAATCTGGAGACAAGTGTAATGTGGAACCCGAACTGATCAGCAAAGGTGAGTTCTTATTTAATCATCTACCAGAATGTTCCTGTAATTAGTTCTATTATTGTACTGTTGTGTAGAATGTAGCAGATGAACTGCTGTTAACATGCTGTATTCGCCTCTTAGCTGAGCTATTATTTAAATATTTACTGCAGTGCTGTCACTAAAGTGAACTTTTTAGTAAACGGCTACTGCAGTCTTCCTTTTAATGTGATATAATATCATAGTTATTGAAGAGTTAACCTAACTCGAACTAATATTAGTTAAATGAACAATTTAAATGGTTCAGAGTTTAGGTAAGGCTAGCTATGATTTCCTTTTTAGTGGAGTATTCCTCCAAAGGTGAGCTGGTAATTGGTTATGGAAGTTCTCCTAGGGTGAGTAGGCAAAGGGCAGCAGACTGCGTTTGAGATCGTTGGTGGTATGTTTAAAATATACACGAGTTATTAAAAAAATAAAAAAAAATTTAGATTTTTTTTTTTTTTTTTCTGTTTGTTTTTTGCTAAACACAAATATGAACCCTCTGTTATTTTTTTTGTCTGGCTTTTATCTGTACTCTGAATGTGTAATCTAGGTGGGAACGTATTGCAACAAAAAAAAAAAAGCTTAAAGAAACTCTGTAGCCATTTGCTCACTTTTGCCATTAGAAAATAACCCATATTAACCTATATTAGCTGGAAATCAGACTGATCCCATCTGTAAGGGCAGTCCAGAATTGAAATGCCAGCAAGTTCTCTCTGCATGAGGGATACTAAAACCTAGACAATTTTTTTTCCAACCTTTTTTGGGCCTCATCAGCAAGATGTAGCTGATACCCTTCAAGGCACAGTGAGCACAGTGTCCATGTCTGGACTACCCTTTTCAACTTCAGGTGATGCTAAAATAAATGCACAGTGAGAATGGGGTGGGAAAGTGCAATAAAATATCTTAACCCTTTTTTAACTGGTTATGAAGTTTATCGCAAGCATACAACCTGTTTTCTATGCATAGTTTAGTTGTATGTTTTTTTTAATATATATTTTATATATATATATATATATATATATATATATAATGTGTGAAAGATTTGCTTCCAAAACTTAAATGCATGGTTAAAAATAGTTACAATAGTTAGTGGTGCCAAGAGTCCCAGGCACCGCCTCCTGTTTGATAGTGAATCTGGGTCCCCAGGAGCCTGCAGCTCTCCCCCTCTTTTGAAATGGCTAAGCCAGAGTTCTCCACCTTAACCATTACCAAATCATACTGATAGTGATCGTGGGCACTGATTGGCTGAGAGTTTCAGTGGAGTGCTCTCACCCTATCACTGAGATTTGGCGTATGGCGTAAGATGGATCATTACTCTGACTAAGCCATTCCATCAGAGGAAGCCATGCTGTAGGCACCTGTGGATCCAGAGCCACTGTTAAACTATTCAGAATCTAATAATAAAGCTTTCAATATCATCAAGGAACCATGATCACATCAGTGAATTGAAGTGATTGTGGTGCCAACAGTGTCAAAATGTATAATTACATTTTGTGTTAATACGGTTGTAAACCGTGGAAAATAATTTGAGTAGCTTACACGTTTTATCCATTTTTTTTTTCTTATTCTCCTGCTGTGTTGTGCAACATTAGTTCTTCAAGGACTGATTGAAACAAAATCTCCCTATTTGGAAGAGTTTTTAGCCATTCTACTATCAGTAACCATAGAAACAACATCGCGTTTTACGGCTACTGGCCCTGTGGCCATCGTGTGCTCTCTCCTTCTACAAGAGAGAGAGGAGGCGCCTGTGAAAAAAGGAAGTGAAAGCTGCAGGTAATTTCTCCCGAAACGAGTATATTTGTGTTTGTTAAAAATGATGTCCTAATAATATACTGTCAGTCTCTACATTAGCTCTAATATCAGCACTGCCTGAGCCTGTCCTGGTAATGTACAGTCAGTCCCTAGATTAGCTCTAATCTCAGCACTGCCTGAGCCTGTCCTGATAATGTACAGTCAGATCCCCTACATTAGCTCTAATATCAGCACTGCCTGAGCCTGTCCTGATAATGTACAATCAGATCCCCTACATTAGCTCTAATATCAGCACTGCCCGAGCCTGTCCTGATAATGTAAAGTCAGATCCCCTACATTAGCTATAAACCCGGCACTTTCTGAGCTCTGTATCAAGCTCTGCACATAAACATTTGTTTTATTCCTTGAAACATTGTGATGCACTCATTCAGTCTATACATAGAAAACCCTTCAGACAGTGATAGGGGCCTTTACAGCTTGTGTTGCGCAGTCAATTTAATCGCTGAAAACACTCTGATTCACAATGCATCTCCTGTTTGTTTTGTAGCTCAGAAACAACCCGCTCAAGAACTTCGTCAGGACTTCTTATCGACTGGTTGGATCTGTTAGACCCAGAAGTTATTAGTAGTTGTCCAGATCTGCAGCAGAGACTTCTGTTTTCAAGTAGCAAGGTACAACATCTATGAAAAAAAATACACACCATTTTTTTTACAAAGCCCACGTTAGCAACATGACATATTTATTAGAATGTTGCCTCTATGCTGATTCTGCTGATAGAACTTGTCATCACTCTATTTAGACATATAAAATATGTCTTTCTCACTTTCCTGCCAACATAATGTCAAAGTTAATTATGCATTATTCAAAATACGACCTTGAATGTCCCAGTTATACAGAATAACAACTCTTCTTCTAAATTACAGTTTAGGTTAAAAAGGGTTATTTAACAGTTTTGTTTAATTTTTTTTAGGTGAAAGTTTCCGCAGGATCTCAAGCTCCTTCTTTCCGTCCATACCTTTTGGCTCTGTTAACCCATCAATCCAACTGGGATACGATACATCAGTGCATTGGGATCTTATTAAGTAAACAGCGGGAGCAAAGGTAAGTGATGAATAGATGGCAGATTATTAAAGGCTTACCTCGGTCAAGGTGATAGTAGTTTGGATGTGAAACACTGTATATCCAGAGTTATTTGCAATTGTGTCCCGGAGGCTAGTTACAAACCCCTGGGACATGTGACTTAGGCAGTGCAGAACTCAGCACAGCCCGGAGGCTGCCTAATATCAATTCTATGCATAGTTTACATCTGTCGTTGGTGTGCACTGCATTCTTGCGACAGACCTTCACTGCTCATGTCCCCTCTCCCTCCCTTCTTAATTGCAGCCCTTTCTCCTTCTTATCCCACCTGCTTATTTATTTTTTGTCTCCTGCCCTTCCTGCTCCTACTTTACCTCCCCACTCCCTCTCCCCCTCCTTTTGCCAGCTCAGAGCATGTGCATGCACGGTTAAATGGTCCAATCAAAGACTTCTCTATAAGAAGCCTTTGCTTGGATTGCCACTTGGCTACTGTAATGTCACAAGGGGGCACGAACTGAGCAACACTGAGAGCTTCACCTGATGCTGGGTTAAGGTAAGTAAAACTTTGTTTAAAAATGTGTTTAAGCCTTTGGGGGAGCTAAAGAATAAGTGTTGTGTACTATGTCTGGGCTATGCTCTACATTTAATGGAATCCATAGATGTATAGATGTATCATGCAAACTCTATGTTGCATAACCCCATGCCTATTCCAAAGAGAAGGCAGACAAGGTTGCCAGAACCATACAGCTATATGTTTCTCAAGAACCTCTGTTTGCTGACTTCTAAAGGAAATTTATGTGGGACAGTAAGTACACTCCGTTTTTATTGTTGTTGTCCTATCCACCGTTTTTTACACTCACCATTTGTAGGTATTAATGGACACTACGTAAAATCCAGTGGTATGTAGAATTCAAATACTGCAGGAAAGAAATGGTCATTAATCAAAGAAGAACCTTGCAGCAAATTAATTCTACACATGCACTTTTCATGAACCATGCAGCATATGAATTCTACACATGCACTTTTCATGAACCACGCAGCATTTGAATTCTTCACATGCACTTTTCATGAACCATGCAGCATATGAATTCTACACATGCACTTTTTATGAACCATGCAGCATATGAATTCTACACATGCACTTTTCATGAACCATGCAGCATATGAATTCTACGCATGCACTTTTCATTTGATGTGTCTGCACAAGAAAAAATTAAGGTTATGAAAGCTGTAATTCTGCTGCAGCTATTTTCAGTGACATTTTGATTACTGGAGCATCAGAGCATTGGGAAAACCTAGAGAAAAGGTTGCTCCGAAATATGTATCTTTTTTTTCTTGTGTTTATTGAAATATATTAATTATTTATTAAATGCTTAAAATTCATGGAAGTCCCTGCACATAAGTTTAATAAAATGTAAAAAAAATGCATACATATTCAGGTAGTTATGTGAAGTTGTGGAGGTTATTAAATACTATGTTTCATTTTATCTGATTTATCTTTTCCTCTGCCCTCCCATGAAATTAAAATGTATTTAATTTGAATCTCCATTGTAAGGAGTCAAACCATTTTAGACAACTAACTACTGAGTGCCGGTGACTTTTGATCAGGGCCGGACTGGGGATACAAAGCAGCCCTGGAAAAAAAATTTGTGCCAGCCCCATAAGTCACTGCGCCATATATTGTCGCGTGTAATATGTAAGGCTATGTCTTGCCAGGACAGATGATTGAGTTATATATATATATATATATATATATATATATATTGCTTTTTCTAATATAAAATATTGGTCCTTTCAGGGTAAAACGTTTAATTATACAGTAAGCATACGCACATGCAGACACAGGCAATTTCACTGACATTTCAGTGACACACACAAGCTCATTGATACACAGCCTCATAGACAAACAATCTTACTGATATACATCAGCTCATTGACATAAAAACACAAGCTCACTCACTAGCAGGCACACGCATGCAAGCAAGCTCACTCACTAGCAGACGCACACACACAGCTTAATGTGGTGGTACTGGTGTCTATAGCATGTCCCTACAGGCTTTTCAACGTAAACACTGACTTTTCAGACAAAAGGCAGTGTTTACATTGCTTCAAAGTGACACTGCTAGTGACAGTCACTCAGACGGTCACTAGAGGTGCTTCCTGTGTTAGTGCCCTCCCGCCCTCGCGCGCTGCTGAATGAGACTGGCGCCGGAATATGACGTCATATTCCGGCGCCGGTCTCATTCAGCTGCGTGCTGGGGAGCAGAGCCAGCGCAGCTCCCTCAGCGGCCGCCAGGACAAGTCCGCCAGCGGCCGCCAAAAGACCTCCCCAGCGGCCAGGGGAGGGCTGGCAGCCTTAGGCCTGGGGGGCAAAACCAGTCAAGTAGACTGGTGCACCTGCCCAGGATCAGAGCCGGTGCAAGGATTTTTGCCGCCCTAGACAAAATAAAAATTTGCTGCCCCCACATGTCACATCACAATGCCCCACCCATATGATCTGCCATATGAACTAACGCCAGTGCTGCACACAGTGTGTGTTTACATTAAAAAGCCTGCAGGGACCAGCTATAGACACCAGAACCACTTCATTAAGCTATAGTGTCCCTTTAATGTGAGGTAAATTATAGATTAGTGTCACTAATAATATACTAGGTTGCCTACTTACAAGCAGATGAGGATGATGATGGGCTGCAGTTTGGCTCCACTGGTCTGGTGTAGAACAGGATCTCTGGAGGCTGTTTGCAACTGTGGTCACAAAATTCAATGTTCTGGGAGAATTGGAAGCAGCTCAATTTTTTTGGGGCCCCTTACACAGCTCAAGGTCTGGGCCCCAGGGCCTGACGGTGAGTATGCCCATAAGGCCCATAAAGTCCACTTATATGTTCCACCCACCCATGAGTTCGCTCACAGGGAGTGGAGTGTGTAGGGGATGTGTTATGTGTTATTGTAGAGGATCTAATATGTGTGCTTATGGTATGTAGTGTTTAGGGTTATCAGTTTGTGCAGGTGATGCAGTGTGTTTGTGTGTAGTGGAAGCAGTGTGTATTTGTGTATAAGGGATGTATTATGTGTTTCTGGTTGTGTGTAAGGGATGCATTGTGTGAATCTGTGTTTGTATGCATAAGGGATGCAAGGTGTGTGTCTGTATGTGTGTGCATGAGATGCATTGTGTTTCTGTGTGTATGTAAGAAAAGAAGTGTGTGTGTTTGCATGCGTGTGTACGGGTTTGCATTGTCTGTTTCTGTGTATGTGTGCAAAGGATGCATTGTCTTTGTGTGTAAGGGTTGCATTGTGTGTGTGTGTGTAATGTATGCATTGTGTGTTTCTCTGTGTGTAAGGGAAGCATGTTGTGTTTCTGTGTATGTATAGGGATGCATTGTGTGTGTGTGCGCGCGTAGTGTGAAAGAGTTCCCTGTCTTGGCCCCTGTCCTATAGAGCTGCCCCTTCTTTATTCCCCCCCCCTCCCCTCTTTATTCCCCCCCCTCTTCTTTCCCTCTCCCCTTCTTTATTCCCTCCCTCCCCTCTTCTTATTCCCCCCCCTCCACTTATTCCCCCCTCATCTTATTCCCTCCCCATCTTACCTCCTTCTTATTCCCTCCCTCCCTCTTCTTATTCTCCCTCTTTTATTCCCCTTCTTATTCCCCTCTTATTCCTCCCTCCCTCTTTCTTACCCCCTCCCCTCTCTACCCTCTCTATTCTACTCTCCCCAGGCTCTAACCCTCCCTATTTCTACCCCTTCCCTATTCTTACCCCCTTCCTATTCTCCTTACCCCCTTCCCTATTCTCCTACTCCCCTTCCTTTTCCAAGGTAGGAAGGTGCACACTGAGTGTGCACTTCCTGTCAGTCCGGCCGGTGACAGGAAACAGAAACTCTGCGCGGAACAGGAGTTTCTGTTTCCTGTCACCGGCCGGACTTACAGGAAGTGCACACTCAGTGTGCCCCTTCCTATCACTCCGGCCGGCCGGCCACCGCGGACCGGAGTGCAGCCTGGCCACGCTACAGGGGAGGGAGGGAGGGGAGAAGCTGCAGCCGCCTGACCGCTCTTCACAGAGCGCTCAGGCGGCTGCAGTATTTAAAGGGCCGGCCCCAGGTGCCGACGGCCCACCGGGAAATTTCCCGGTATCCCGGTGGGCCAGTCCGGCCCTGCTTTTGATGCTCTCAGCCAACGAGCTAGCTCTACGCTGCAAACTTCCCAGCTTACAGTCGTTTGTAGTGGAGGCAGAGAGCGGAGACCAGCAGGCCTCAGGTAAGAAGGCAATTCTAAAGTGCTTTGACTAATTACAATGGTAGGTGCATCAGGGAAGACCTGGCAGTACAGTGAGCTGTAGTTGTTATGGTGCTTGTGGTGTACCTTTAATGTAAAGTTTGTTTGGTGTAAACGTCCAGCATCCTAAAAGTAAAAGTGTTGTCTGTGGCTTACTAAGCATCACCACAGTTGTAATTCCAAGAGCTACTCGTTTCCTGCCCTGATTTCATGATTTCTAAACCTACAGCCATAGTTAATCATGTATGCAGAGTGACTCTATGAATTAAAATATAGTATTTATCTGCAGCATGGGCACCTGACATTGTCCACCCTCTTAGACACTAAGTTTCAGCCGAAAGTTTTAAACATTCTCCAGAACACTTTTGCGTTCCAAATCTCATTCGTAACCATTGCAGGAAACACTCTTTAAAATATATATTTAACACGTTGTGGCTTATGTGACATTTAGGTTGGACCCATCAGCTTCTTTGGACTTTTTGTGGGCATGCATCCATATTCCCCGTATCTGGCAGGGAAGGGACCAGCACACGCCACAGGTACAGACTGAACCAATGTACGGGCACCTCTGCACTCCTATGTGTAGTGACTGATAGTACTGACTCACCATTCTTTATTATCCCACACAGAAAAGGCGAGATGAATTTGTTCTGCAGCTAAAGCCATCAGAGCTAATTTGTCTTGTGGATTTGATTATCTCGGAGTCAGAAACCAAGAGTCAGGAGCCAGAGGAGACTTCTTGTCATCTGATTCAATCACGCCTTCCACTTTTAATCAATTTTTGTCATGGAAACCAAGAAAGCATCAAGAAGGTCATGGAGCATTTGATCAATTGTATAAAACAGTGGGGTAATAGGTGAGTCTAATGTACAGGAATAATAAAAAAAAAATGTAATCACTTTTTTTTTTTTAAACCTGTGTATATTGTGCCAGTGGTGACATCGCTGATGACAAATACTCTGGATCAGTAACTTGCCCTGAGCTTGTCTCTTGGATATAAAATTAAACAAAAGCATTTGCTACCTGATCCTCTCTACAGATTTTCAGACATTCAGCGTGAGATTTGAAAGGTCAAAATAAATCCTCTAATGCAGTATTTATCTCTTTAGTCCTTTAGGGAAACCATGCCGGGACCTTCTCCTGCAGCTTTATCTACAACTGCCAGAATCGATTGTTTTAGTGCCTGAAATCTCCAGTGAGGGAGCCACTGGCAGCAGTACCTGCAAGGTATGTAAGCAGGAAATGTTTTGACTCCATTCTGGGTGAGCGTAGCTCTCTCTATATGGTACCAGTGTCTTAGAAGAAGCACTGTCTTCAGATAATGTAAATGCAGCATCATATAGCTCTGTAATCACTGCTTAAATATTGTTAACACATTAATCTAATAAAAAAAACTTCTCAGGTTAAAAACTGTTCAAAATACGAGTGTGACCCCAAAATTAAAGAAACACTCTGGGCACTAAAAGAATGAAGTTCTTATGGTTCCAGGAGGTCCTGGGCGCCATCTTACCATAGGGGGTTAAACCATTTACAGTCCGTTCAAAGGAGCACTCCGGGTACCATAATATATTCATCTGAATTAAGTTGTTATGGTGCCTGAAGATCCTTCACCAACGGTTTAACCTCAAAGTCGAGTGCCATTTAGCTCTGTCCCTTTCTTGCTTCTCTCTGATTCTTGAAACAGGAATTCTCAGACAGACACTGTCTACAACATCTGGGGATCTACCTTTTAGGCATCCCTGCTCTAAGTCATTTAGATACTCCACATTCATAAAAACAGCTTGTCGAAAATATATGCATTTCTGAAGCCATTTTGTGAATGGGGAGCTACTGATTGGCGTAGAGCATTAGCTGATTCTCTCAGCCAATGAGTGCCGCATTTGTCTGAGGCTTTCCTGTTTCAAGGATTAGAGCAAAGCGAAAGGACACGCGTAGAGCTACACAACATTGAATTAAAGACTTTGGGGATTAAACCGTTCGTGAGCAATTTAACCTCTATAGTAAGCAGACTCCAGAGACATCTAGGCACCATAACAACTTCATTCTGCTGTCCGGAGTGTTCCTTTTAACAGTTCGTAAACCGTTAAGCACAGTGGTTCCCAAACCTTTTAGGTTTTTTGTGCCCTTAATATTTTTCAATTTTTTTCGAAGGCACCTCAAGTCAAAATTTCTATATCCAGGGTGTGTATCTGTACAGCGCTGCGGCATTTACTGGCGCTATAGTGTAATGTATAGTGTTGGTGTTTAAAGGACCACTCTAGGCACCCAGACCACTTCAGCTTAATGAGGTGGTGTGGGTGCCAGGTCCAGCTAGGATTAACCCATTTTTTTATAAACATAGCAGTTTCAGAGAAACTGCTGTGTTTACAAATGGGTTAATCCTTCCTCCAATTCCTCTAGCGGCTGTCTCATTGACAGCCGTTAGAGGCGCTTGCGTGATTCTCACTGTGAAAATCACAGTGAGAGCACGCAAGAGTCCATAGGAAAGCATTGTTTCCTATGCGACCAGCTGAATGCGCGCGCAGCTCTTGCCGCGCGTGTGCATTCAGCCGAATGGGAGGAACGGAGGAGGATTGGAGGAGGAGAGCTCCCTGCCCAGCGCTGGAAAAAGGTAAGTTTTTACCCCTTTCCTCTCCCGGGCGGGAGGAGGACTCTGAGGGTGGGGGCATCCTCAGGGCACTATAGTGCCAGGAAAACGAGTATGTTTTCCTGGCACTATAGTGGTCCTTTAAAGGGGTGCTTTTATATAGTTATTGTGGTTTAATATAGGGATTGTGTTTGTATGTAATGTTTGCGTTTGATTGCAGGGGTGTGTATGTATGTAATATTTGTGTTAGATTGCAGGAGTGTATTTGTATGTTGTGCTGGTGTCTGTCTGCTTTGATATATGCACATACATTACCACATACATACTTACACAGATATACATACACACAAATTCATATAGACACCAACACATACACACACACACATACACTCACTGACACATACCTTAACATACGCATACACCAACATATACACACACATGCACCCTGACACACACATTGATACATGTACACACCATGATACAGATACACACTGAAATAAAAACATACACAGACGCATATCCTGACACACAGATGTGTGCGCACACAGACACAGAAGCATACTTATATATATTCATGTAGAGATTGTAGCCGTATTAGTCCAGTGATGTAGATGTAAAAAACAGATACAATTTGTATCTTGTAATACCTTTTTTATTGGACTAACAGAATTTTTTAATGAAAAGCTTTCGCGAGAACCACTACCAACACTTTACATGAACACTCTCCCAGCATTTTCTTACTGTTCTGTCATATGTAACAACACTATAAATCACATTTCAATATGTTTATTCTATCAATATATAAAGTACTATGTGTAGACCTATGCTTTCCCATATTATGCATGTATGCATATATATATGACTGTGCATTTATATTTGTGTATATGAGTTCATGTACATGTCTGTATATGTGTTTATGTATATGTACATGTGTTTATGTATATGTACATGTGTTTATGTGTTCGCCTATACGTATTTGTGTGTGTGTGCATGTATAAAGTGTACCATCCTCTGCACTGTTTGCTTGTTTGTTTTTCTTCTCCCGCTCTCCCCCCTCACTCTACTCTTCAGAAAGATATTTATGACCCTCTGCTAAGATGGTGTCTATTTTCTAACAAACCTGTGTCTTATCTGCACTCATGTCGCTTTAACCCTGAATCACAACTCAACTTTGAATTCTATATGTCGTCTTGCTCAGAAATGCTTCAGACTTGAGAAAGGGAGGTTCTCCCGAAAGCTTGTCATTAAAAAATTCTGTTAGTCCAATAAAAAAGGTATCACAAGATAAAATTTTTATCTGTTTTTTACATCTATATATATATATCTCCAGCCACCCTCCTGTTAGCTTACCTTGTGTGTCCAGGAGGGTGGCTTGGAGTCCTGCTGGTAGGAGTGCGGAGTCTGGAGCTCTTCGTGCTCCTCTCCCCTCATGCTGCTGCCGCCTCCTTTCCCGCTCGCATTAAGCTGAAAGGAATTGACAAGTTGTCACTTCCTCCCAGCCGGCAGACGTTACAGGGGCCCGGTCACAGTCTTAAAGGACCGTGGCACCCGTCCGGACCCTTTGTGTGCCTGTTGTGGCGCAGCGGCTGGTTTAGCCCCTTAAGCCTAGCACCATAACAACTTAATTTAGAAGTTGTTTTAGTGTTCATGAATGTTTTAGCCTTTAAAGGTGAGCCAGACACCTCCTGGCCCCATAGCAACTTAATTCGAATTAAATTGTTATGGTGCCCAGAATGTTTCTTTAACCCCAAAGTTGTGAAGACGGCACCCATCAACTCTGCCCCGTGGTTTCCAGTGATATCCAAAGCTGTTGTGAGGGAGCCGAGGGTTGGATGCCACTGAAAGCATCTGCTGATCACTCTCTTCCCAATCATAAAACTGTTAGAAAGGTACATACCTTTTTCACACAATTTTGTAAATGGGAAGCTAATGATAAACTGACCGCGTCAGCTGATGCTCTCAGCCTGTCAGTGGTGCCGGGTCCTTCTCTTCATTATTAAAGCCTTAGACATCACCAGAAACACAGGGGCAGAGTGGTTCTCTTGACACATAACAAATTCATTGAGATTAGGTTGTTATAGTGCCTGTAGTGTTCCCCTTAATATTAACCAGAGATATCAGTCCAATCAGATTATACGAAGAAGACTGGCTCCAAAACACATAGAAATCAAACTGAACAAGTGCTATAGGAAGGGATGCACTGTCACTATTTAGCCAGGTAAGCATGTATTTGGTTTGTTGCTACTACCCAAACAGATCTTATTTACTAATTTAGCGGTACTCATTTTATTGGATTTGGATAGTGACAAAATAGAGAACAATTACACACCAGAGATGCTGTCCTGTTTGCTTTAGGTTTGTTGCAGAGACGGTCTTGTATATCCAGCCTGTAGTTTCCTAATGATATCATTAGTATACACAGTTGGCTACAAAGAAAGATTATGAATGACATTTACACAAAGGATTATTTCCTTCTGTAGTGATTGTTTGCTAACATCTCTGGAAGGCTTTTCTCTGCATTCCATAGTCTCCACAGTTTTGTATCAGATCCATTTGGGTTACATACTTGTATCACGCACATACTGTCTTCTTTTGCTATTTTTAGATGGATGGTCTTATACACCGTTTCATTACCCTCTTAGCGGATACCAGCGAATGCAAGGAGAGTCGGATGTCCGATGCCAATATGGCTTGTCGCAAGCTTTCCGTGGCACATCCTGTCCTACTCCTCAGGTATACATTGTACTGGGCAAAGTATCACTATCTTTCAAGTTCAGGCAAGAAACCTCAAAATGGCAGAGAGCAAACATCTGTTTTTTGTTCCCGTGTTTATTTTACCGCAGTTTGTACTCCTTCTGTTATGGTTCTGCTATCAGACTGCAAATTTTAAATTTGGGCAAGTGTCGTGTAAAACTTGCAAACTTTGTTTTCTTTGATGGCGTCTCCTCTAAAGATCTTGCCATTCTATTTCCTATTCTTCTTCCCCAAACATATAGGGGTAATGTGTCTCAAGTAGATTGTAATAGTGTACATTCGTTTTGGTAAATTCCTTGGCCTCCATGTTACATTATATCACAGATGGATGTTTTCCCGGGTTAGTGCGAATGCTTTCTATTTACACCAAAGTGTCAATCATTGAAATTCCACTTTGTTTATGGTCCAGAATTGAATTCTTGTTGTTTGTTGTCTAGGCACTTGCCCATGATTGCCGCCCTGCTCCATGGACGGGTACACCTGAACTTCCACGAGTTTCGGCAGCAGAACCATCTGACTTTCTTCACTCATATACTGGGCATCCTTGAATTGCTTCAGCCTCAGATATTCCACAGCGAGCATCAGGAAGCCTTGTGGGACTGTCTCCTCTCATTCATCAAGCTTTTGCAGGTATTCCCTTACAACTATTACAAATGTTCTATAGACCCGATCCACAAACCGCATCTTGTTGGAGATGCTACCAAGCTCTGTCAGAGTAGATTGTAGACCACATTTTGTCAAAAATTTGGGGGCTTTCTGTTGGTAATCATTTCTCAAGAGCCACTGTCTTTACACTGTATGTTGCTCAGAAAGGATACGTGAGTTGTGGTATCAGGCATCATTTACAGAAAATGGTTAAATTACGTAAAATGTGCCCAGTGCACCTCTACTGAAAATCTCATGAATACCACTTACTTGTGGGGATCATCAGCAGTACTGAGCTCTGGTGCCCCTATTAGGCAATCTAGGATCGTATTGTAACCTCTATTTCTTGTATCTAAAACACTGATTATGGCAATCCTGGCAAGCAGTCTGCCCACCCATATATTAACCTTGGCAGTCAGTGCCACTCTCGATCATGTCTTGAATCTGTCTTCTTTGTGATTTAAAATACAGGTCGTTATACTTATTTAGTGGATGAGCATGGTAAGCCAAAATTAAAATATACTTGCAATGCTTTTGGGTTTTTTCTTTTCTTATCAGTGTAAGAGATACTTAAAACTTTTTTTTGTCTTCTGTCCCCAAAGAACACATGTAGTTTAAATTGTATGTCTCAAACTCTATGTTTTGCACAGCGCTGTTAATCTCAGGCTTCCACTGTGAGCAACAAAGTTTGTGCCTCTAAAATCCTTTTCTCTGCTTAGAATTACAGGAAATACTCCAGGCAGCTAGCGGGATTCATCAGCAAATTTGTGCAGTTTATCCACAAGTACATCACATGTGCAGCTCAAACAGCTGTGTCATTTCTGCAGAAACACGCAGATCCCTTACAGTAAGTCAATTAAATCAGCACTCCTAGCACAAAGAGCCATTGCAGGCACCCATACGTTGGGTGCAATGAATAGGATAGGCTTTATTTGGTTGTTTTATTACGTTGACTACGTTTTATTCGTTTTCCTTTATTTTTTATTTTTTATTGTGTGTGTGTGTGTGTATGTATATATATATATATATATATATATATATATATATATATTTTTTTATATTATAAGTAGTTTGCTCCAAAAGTCTACTCTTTTCCCCTCTCCTTACTAACATGCAGTGTTTCTCTTTGTACACTCCAAAAATTCATTTACAGCATGATGACAAGACTTCTGAGTTATCGTTCAGTTGTTTGTTTTCTACAGTAGAAAAATTTAATTTGAAAAATACTTCCCAACAACCCCTTTCTATGCCCATAACCAATTAACCATATAAAACAGTTTGTAGCTAATTAGCAATTCTCCTGAGAAAGAAAAATCTTTGTACAAGTAAGCAGAAATCGGCTGTACCAAACTGCAAATAACACTGTCATCTTTGATTCGCTGAAAGAATAAATACTTATTGGCTGTGTCTGATACCTGCTTACCCTTACAAATATTTGTGGGTGAATAATGAGCAAGTTAGAATTTCTTATAATCCTGGGGCCGTAGGAGAGAGGTCAAACCACCTGAAAACACTTCAACAAAATTGAGAGGGACAATACCCATAGCCTCCTTGCACATAAAACATTGCAAGAAGCTGTAGGCATGCCGCATTACAATGCCTGAAATGTTCCTTTGAGCGGCTAATTGAAAAAAATTTGCCATAAAAAGTTTTTGGTTTTTTTTTTTTTCCTAAAAAAGATTTGAAACACATAGACTTTATACATAAAAGCAGGAATTATAGGAAAAACACTGTAGAATGTTAAACCAAACTAGATTCATCGGAAAATCTCTCTAGCTGTTTTTTTTCGGAAAGTATGTGTGGCCTAAAATGTCCAATCCCTTGTCTATTTTGTACAATTCCTGGTTTATTAATTAAGCCCAAATAAAATGTGTCATGAGTACAGTTTTCAATTGTTAAATATTTTCTTTTCCAGCGGTTTGTCATCCGAGAACTCTGATCTGGCGATGCTGAAATCCCTCTTAGCCGGTCTGAGCCTGCCCGGTAAAGGTGGAGAGTTGGAGAAGAGTCCTGATGAGGACAAAGAAGGTAAAAATTGATAGGCATTTGTGTAATCAGTTTGTGTGACGAATTCAGATTTAACCAATTAGCATCTTGAGTGCAAAGCTTACTCATGGCATCATTTGTTTGAATGATAAATACATTACATAACTGTTCACTCTATGATGGAAGCTTTAATGCCAAGCAACTTGAGAAGGGTAGTTCAAGTCATTTGATGAATCATGCAACATTTGCAACAAAAGTCACAAGGTGTGAAATAGTGTGCTGTAGTGGTTATGGTGCCAGGGGAGCCCTATTACCCCCCACCACCCCCTTGCAATGTAATCAGTATACCAGTTTAAAAACAGTTTGACCTGCAGTCCGCTGGCCACCGCTCTGCTCCTGCATCTCTCAGAGCTGGATGCCCCTAGCTGGCACTTTCATTAACTCTCCTAAGCTAAATCCTATTATGCAAGGCTAGCTTATTGTCTGAGGGCATCACCTGATCGGTCTCAGCCAATGAGCTATGCCAATGAACTGCCGAGCTTGGCTCAGACAGAGCTTCTGGCCCGCAGAGAGCCAGAGTAGCACCTGAGAGATCCTAGGTGAGAAGTCAAACTGTTCTAAAATGTTTTCACTACTTACATTGAGGACATTCCTGGCACCATAGCCACTGCAGCATGCAAATAAAGTTCTGTATCAGAAGATTTATCATTATTGTGCTTAATCAAATATTCACCTGCAGCTGCAAGTTAATTGGGTTTTGGATGACAGGAGTTTGTGGGTTTTAATTCTCAAACCATTAAAAGTCTGTAATTAAAGGTTAAATGAACACTATAGCTTTAGGAAAATAAATAAATATACATATACATATACATATATATATATATATACCCAACTGTGTAGTACCCTTGTCCCTAGTTGGGTAGAGGTCCCCCACTTTTTTTCCAACTAAAATGAAAAACATAAAAGTTTTACTTACCTTTTTCCCAGTGCCGAAGCTATTCACATCTACGCTTCCCATGATGTCATCGATAGTATGACAGCCACCAGAGGTAGAGTTAACCCTGCAATGTAATATCAAGTTCTAAAAAAAACTGCAGTGTTTTACATTGCAGGGGTAAAAGAACAGGGCCACTGCACCAACTTTATTGAGATTTAAACCTTTAAACTCTGTGACAACTCTTGGATGATCAGAACAGATATAGAAAGTTGTTTCTGTAAAATCTTATTAAACCCTCAATGCTAATTTTTCCCCCTGGGTCATCGCTTGGCCTTCTCTCATGTATACATAACATGGTTTATTTACTAAACTGAGTTGTAGTGAAATAAAAATTTAAAGTGCACATTTCTGTCCCAAAATTACTTTTTTTTTTTTACCCCCAATTCACTGTGTAGTGAATAAACTGTAGAGTCTTTAGCATTTAGAGCCCATATAATTTGTTTTATTATTGTGCTTGTTGATATTTATGTGTGCTTGTGTCTAAATATACTGATGATTTTTTAATCATTATTTAATTTTTTGCATAGATGAGCCAGCAGCGGGCTCCCTCCCTTTGGTCAGTGTATCTTTCTTTACGCCTATTACTGCCGCTGAAATAGCGCCTTACCTGAAAAGAATATCCAGAAGTCAAAGTGTAGAAGGTAAGCATCACATTTATCTGTCAGAGTAAATATTCTATGTATCTGGAGCAGTACACGGCACAAAACACTTGATCCATCTCTATAACAGGTCTAATCCATTTATCTCCATTGTTCCTTAGGAGTTATCTTTCCTATGAGCTAGTTTGCCATTGTTATTGATTTATTTTATATGATTAGTGTCTTTTGTGCTGCTCGGTGACTTGGATTTTGCGTGTAGACCTGTTGAGTTTCATAGAAAAGGCTTTTCATGTTCCAAACAGAAAGAAAGTAAACACAGTTTCTGTTTGTTTGATAAAACTTTAGAAGGACACAAATATAATTAAAGAAATCCCAGGAGCCGTGTATAAAGTCACATCACAGCTCTGAGTGAACTGTGTGTTCTGTTTTTTTTTTGTTTTGTTTAGCTCATCTCTGTTCAGCGCTGGTATTTTTTTATTTTTTTTGTCCCTCTGCCTGCCACAATCTGATCAGTTCTTGAAATCCAAACATATTGCCTAAGGCAGTCTGAGACGTGCAGGCCTGCCAGCTGGGATCTCTCTCGTAGGACCCACGCCGATATGTCATCACATTTCATTCGCTCCGCAAAATGAATTGCCTGATTGAAAAACTCTGCTGTATCCAAGCCTCTGATCATCTCATGCTGACCCAGCTTCTTTCCAGCTTCAGCCTGTGATGAATTTAAGTTGATGGCTGCAGGATTTTTCCTCTTCTCTTCCAGATATCCTACAGGTTCTGAGTGACATAGATGAAATGTCCAAACGGCGTCCTGAAATCCTGTCTTTCTTTGCAGTGAGTATACCAAGGCCCACCTCTGAGCCGTACAGATAAACACACACCACTGCACTGTAGGAACCAGACTCCGTCTACTTTCTGTATTACTCTTCCAATCCTCTCATCATTTTTTATTACTATTACTAATGAATACGGTACATTTGTACATGATACAATTTTATTTATTTTTTTACATTTCGCACCAAAAGCTAATTTAACCTGGTGCATAATGTTTTGATTTTGTAAAATAGAACTGCTGTTTTGGGGTGTTAAAATTAAGTCTTAGAAATGTTGCAAGCTACCTACTTGTTCGTTGTGGTGCATTAGCTGTGTACCTCCGGGCACACCTTGGTGAAGTTGCTCCATGAGAGAGGGAGACAGAGAATATTCGTGCGTGTATGAGTATACCTACCATACACTGCAGTTTTTTGTTTTGCCTTTTAAGAACCCACAAGATTTAATACATAATCCCAACTAACATTCCATTCCAATTCATTCAGTTTGTAGTCTGCTGCATTTTCCTTTTTGCTTCCTAGCCTATCTCAATGTACCTCCCGACACTAGAAGGCATAGATGTGGGCCACAAGGGTTAAGTGATTAAGTACATATCCGAAATTTGATTGCTCTGGGCTTTCTGGAGACACCAGAGAGCAAAGCCGAAATAGTGTCCCACATTGGGACTGTCCTGCTAAGCTCATGAATGTTGGCAAGTTTGTCTCTAAACATCACTGATGCATTACACAATTTACTCCAGTACAGTGGGTGCTTATGAAGGGGATTGCAGTTGTATTTGGTAACTGGACTAATACTACAAACTCCCTTTTTCTTTGCACTTGCAAGCATTGCTTATGTATTCTACTTACCTGTTCATTTTTCTACAATTTTGCATAGAAGAGTTCTATGTGTACCAAGTAAATATTTAGTCGATCCTCCCTTAGGTATAAAATCCAAATAAGTTCTAAAAAAACAAAACAAAACCAACAGATGCACACCAATGTCACTGCTAATGCTAATATAGCTTTATTTAAAAAACAATGCAACAGATACATAAATAATACACATAAAACGACTAAACATTATATATACATTATATATGTATTTGTTGCATTGCTTTGTAAATAAAGCTGCAGTGGCACTAACATTTGTGTTCTACTATCTAAAAAATCAAATAATTAGAAAAATGTTTTTTTCAACTGCACGTATGAGTAAACTTGTATACTTTGAGAGCCCCACGAATTAAATATATATATATATATATAAAAATTTTAATGTCACTTACATGTCTTGCCAGAGTGATTTTCAGCGGCTCATGAGTTCCACGGAGGAATCCTGTCGCAATTTGGCGTTCAACTTGGCTTTGCGCTCTATCCAGTGTAATCCCAGGTGAGTGCCTATGGCCAGAGCTCCATGTGCTACTGGCTGGAGAGAAGTGTGTGTGTTTTGATAGGTGGAACAAAGCAAGTGTATTGCAAAACTTAATTTGAGAAAAATATATATCCGTTCATTAGGTTCTGAGATATGTGCCAGTAATCCAACAATCTAAAGGGGAGTAGGACAGGCAAACAAGAGGGTCAGATCACTAGAAAACTAGCCACCCAGGCAAAGACTGGAGAGCTATTCGCATTAGTTTACATATGGAAGGGGGTGCCAGTGACACCTTGCCAAGCACCAGATTAATAGGTAACTCAGCAAGCCAGCCAACCAGGACTGCCCATGCACACAGCCGCGCAGCACCTCTTCTCTTGGACAGAGGGGAAACAAATGTGACATTTGGGAGTTATGGAGATTGGAAGACTGGTAAGATTTGAATGACAAAACCCATTAAAAAAAAATATCAAACCATTTAGCAGTTTTCATGATACTTTTAACAGTATTCACTTAATTAGAGCTTGTGATTGAGTACTCATGTTATATATATTTCTGAATAATTATAGTCTGGTCTAGAACTGGTGCAGGACACAGGAGATTTGAGGTGTTACAGGAAATGGTTTATTACATTACGAGCTAGCTATGTTGTCCTTATAATTCAGGTGCATGACCTGTAACATAGATCATTGCAATTGATTTTCCAGTCAATGAAATGAACAGCTTTTAATGCAGTGTTAATGTTCTGTATACATGTGGTCTATATTATATTCTAATGATAATGGTACTTTGTAGAATTTCTCAATTCTCTCGCAGTTGGAGTGTTTGTAAGGAACTCCAAGTGCTAACTTTGTGATCAAACTGTCCCTTGAACATGTTGGATTTGTCTAGAGCCTGCTATTGTCTCATAGTAATCTAATGTCAGAGCTTTTGATAGAAGCTCATCTGTCACTTTAAAAGCTGATGAATGTTAATAGTCCTGGCACATCTGCATATATCAAAGTGGATTCATTGATCAAACAAGTCCAGAAAGTAACAGCTCTATTGAAGATGGCTTATCTTGAGTTTAGGGGGGCTCATTATCAGGGTAGCTCTGTGCTCTCCTAGTCACTCTTGGCATGCCATGCAACCAAACAGATGTAAAGACATGTAGCTACGCAGCAATAAAACCAGAGCATAACCCGGGCTCACATTGCCTGCCAGATCATTAATGTGCAGCTTCAAAAAGTAAGCAAAAGTGGCATTTTCTTCCCTTAACAAACAGAATTTTCATATTTGGTCGGGTGAAATGAAGTTCGTTATAACAGCAGTGGCTTACTTTTTTAGATTCATTTAAAGAACAGGCTCTAGTTTCGTTAACATTTTCAGTAATTACAATGATTTATATAGCGCCAACATGGGCTGCAGCGCACTTACCAGGAGAAGCGGAATCTGCTGAAATTACCAAAAATGATTAGAAGAAAACAAAATAAATAATCGTCCTTTCAAGGCTAAATAAAACACATATCTAAAATCAACAGAAGGACTGTAGTCGCATATTATGTTTATAACTTTCCATAGCTTCTATGTATTGGGATTTTGGCCACGCTTCTTATTATGGGACCCTACAAAGGCTTTAAATCACTTAAAGTCCCAGTAAGTATGTAATGCAGAGCTCTGGGATGCTGTGTTAAATGATAACATTTAGTGGATTCATCTCATATGAGCAAATATTAGGTTAGGACCCGCTGGAACAGGGGTACTTTTACAGTGTTGCAGGCTAAGCATTTTATGGCCATAATGTGTGACTATAACCCCATTTGTTTTATCATTGCTGTTTTTATTAAGCCATTGTAGATCTATAACTTGTTTAATGTAGAGTGAGCTGGTTTTGTTTTTGCAGGTATTTGTTTGTATATAGATGCAAAAGAATATAGGATTTCAGTATCATGTGATACCATTGTTCTAGGATAAAAATAATTATTAAAAGATACTGAAATACTATCTTATTTTACATCTATATAGTTTTACATCTGTGTCTTTGCTTTCTGTACTGTGTTATCTTTAAAATTTATTAAAGGAACACACCAGTGGGTAATTTTTAAAAACTATATAGTAAATATGGCTGTAAAAAAAAAACAAAAACAAGCAAATACAGTATTTTTTTGTGTGCATGTTTTCTTTGGGGCCATATGAAAAATCAGCTTACAAACACTGCAGATTTGCTATCTGCAGCCTTTACAAGCCCCTCCTCTCTTTCCCTGACACAGACTTCCAGTCAAGCTGAATATTAGCCAATCCGAGGCCTCCCACTGAGAAGGCTAAGAGCTAGAGCCACGTGTGTGTGCATGTGATCGCAGTAGTACAGTTCATTGAGAAAGGGGGAAGACAGGTGCTCTATAGCCCACAGTGCCTTCCTCTTCTGTTCGCTCTACCCCAGTTGTGAAAGTGCAGAGTTCTATTAAAACCAGCAATTTTATTAACTGTCAAAACAAAATACAGATTCCATTTACATGCAGCTCTTCAAGCTTGAAGTGCTTTATGTCTGCAGTGTACTTTTAAATATGTGTAATATTTGTACTTAAAAAGTTGTGAGTGAATTTAGATTTTTGTGTGCTCATTGTTGTGTTCTGCTGTCATTATTAGTTATGTGAGAAGTCAAGTGCAAATTTAAAGCTAAAACAACGGAGCTTGGAGAGTATATTTTTCCACTTCTGCTATTGTATCTTAAAAATTGTTCTTTTGTAAATGGCCCAGAAATCCATTACTGCACGAGGTCTGTCAGAAAAAAGTCAAGCCATTGTTAATATAATGAGAAAGGTTTGCGCGACATTGATGTAACCTGGCAGCCAAGGAGAGTGGACTGGAATGGGCATGCGTGATCAATAATGACTTCACTGTACTAGTCAGTGGGGATGCTAGACACCTTGGGTTGAGCATGTGTGCTGTGTGGCCGCCGCATTCAAAATGACTGAGCAAGTAGAGCAACAAATCTGCCTAAAATCTTGCGTTAAACATGAACACTCCTCCACAAAAACTATTGGGATGATGCAGAAGGCTTTCGGCTATGATGCAATGAGTGCAGGGCAAATAAAAGTGTGGCATGTTGAACGATTTGGCACCCTGCCACTTCTGGCTTTTCCCAAAATTAAAATCATCTCTGAAAGGGAAGGGATTTCAGATCGTCAGTGAGATTCAGGTAAATGCCACAAGGCCGCTGATGGTGATTCCAACAAAGGATTTTGCAGAGACACTGGGAGAACTGTGTGAGGTCCTGATTTTAAGAGGACGAGGTGTCGTTGTCCTGTGTACAATGTTTCTTGAATCTCTTTCATTAAATGTCTCTATTTTTTTCATATTACCTGGCTGGATACTTTCCCGACAGATCTCGTATAGCTCTAAGGAGTAAATTCTCATTGCAAAGTAATCACAATGTCTGATTTCATTAGTTTACACTACATGTTTTGCTGCTACCTCAGGAAACCACAGGAAGACGTAAAATGCATAGTTACAATTCCAATATGGGGGAGTGATGTAGTGGAATTGACACACTGCTGTTATTTTGCAGGACAAGAAGGTTGGTTAACATTGTAGCAAGTTGTAAACACTAACATTATCATTGTGTCTCCTCAGCATTGCCTCGGACTACCTGCCTACGTTTATGTATTGTCTGGGCAGCAGAGACTTTGAAGTGGTTCAGACAGCATTAAGAAACCTGCCTGAGTACACCCTTCTCTGTCCAGGTTTGTATTTTATTAAAATTAAACTTTAATTCACTTTATACCAATATATCTCTACTTCTCCACATATTTAACAATAATCACCGTTAGCTGCTATTTTATTATTATTTTTTTCCTTGTCTGATATTTTAAAACCTACATATTGATTTGCTCCCAAACCTTGACATCATGTGTCATTATTTGGCCAAACATTTTTCGGGCACCAAGTAATGAAAAAAAGAGTTCACTGGATGTTTTTAATCAATGGCATTCTGGATTGAATTAAGCATAGACATTTCATTCTAATAAGCCTATTTTATTTAATTTTTTTACTTTTTTTTTTTTACTTGGGTTCACTAAAGGCTTTTTAGGGGGAACACTGCTCTGCAGAGTTTGGTCATGTCCTTCCTTAAACAATGGATTTTCTTTTCACAGAGCATGCCGCTGTACTTCTTCACAGAGCCTTTCTTGTTGGCATGTATGGTCAAATGGACACCAGTCCCCAGATCTCTGAAGCCTTGAAGGTCCTACACATGGAAGCCATGATTTAAGAATATAAGGTTTATTGGAGAGAACAGGACTTTTTTAGACATAAGCTTACATTTGGGTGCTTTCATGCATTCGAAGGATTACAAGACAAAAGCATTGTCCAATCCAGTTTAAAGTTTCAGTTAGTAATGTATTAACCCTTTAAGGACACATGACATGTCATGATTCCCTTTTATTCCAGAAGTTTGGTCCTTAAGAGGTTAAAGCTATTTTTGATTTGTTAACTTTTTATTTTAATTTTTATTTTTGATCCTTATTGACTGTAATGACAATTGTAATTAAACGGTCTTATTTAAAAAAAATAATAAAATTTAAAAAAAACAGAGCAATGCGCAGGACTCATGGTAAGCATGGAACACAGAGAGATTTAGCAGAATACAAATATGGGGTGTTTGCGTATTCTGTGAATTTTCCCCAAATAAATGTGTGGGGGAAAAAAAAAAAAAAACTGAAACAAATAACTGCATTTGATCAAATGGTTAAATGAAAAGTATCAAAATGCTCTTACTTACCTGAATACACACTTCCTTCTAGCCATACGAATTCATATTCACATGGGGTGATAGACTGAAAGTGGTCAGCTGAGATTCACTGCCAATCCCATTTGCCCATTAGCCTAAGCCGCAAAGAGGGAGGGTGGGGGGATAGGCATTAAGAACAGTTTAACTCTAAATGGAAGGATGGCACCAGGGGACTCCATACACTATATAACCATCACAGTAAGCTAAAGCAGTTAGTCTATAATGTCCATTTAAGGATATCTTTGTATTGTGCTGCATTCTACTTTCTCTCAAAATCAATCATAAAGCATGATGCTACCACCTCTATGTTTCACCATTGGGATGGTATTTTGCAGGCTAAAATAGGTGTCTGATTTCTTCAAGGCATGACCGTTTGAATTGAGACTAAACATTCATCAGGCCAGAGAATCTTCTTTCTCTCAATCTGAAAGTACTTTTATGGCTTTGATGTGTCTTGCAGTGAGGAGAGGCTTCCATCTGGTCAATCTATCATAAAGGCCAGTTTGGGAGAGTGCTGCAGTGTTGGTTGTACTTCTGCAAGTTTCTCCCAGCTCTGCACATGATCTCTGGAGTTAACCCAGAATGGCTGTCAGGTTCTCTGTCACCTCCCGAACCAAGGTCTTTCTCCCTCAATTGTTCAGATTGGCAGGCGTCCAGCTCTAGGAAGAGTCCTGTTTGTTCAAATTTCTTCCATTGAAGAAGTATGAAGACCACTGTGCTCTTTGGAAACATTCAGTGCAGCCGAACATGTATTGTAGCCATCCTCATATCTGTGCCTCGACACAATCCTGTCTCTGAGCTCTGCAGTCAGTTCCTTTGACCTCATGGTTTGGTTTTTGCGCTGATACACATTTACAGTTGTGAGACCTTATATAATCACGTATGTGCCTTTCCAAATAATTTCCATGTAGAAACATCTCAAAGATGGTCAAATGAAATATGATTCATTCAAGCTAAATTTCAAGTGTCATAGGAAAGTGTCTGAACACATGTCAAAGTGATAGCTTTTTGATAAATTTCCAAAGTATTAAAAAATCTGGTATTTCCTCTGTGATTATGGAGATTGACGTGTGGGAAAAAAAATGTTTTTAAACGATTGTAGCATAAGCCTGCAACAAAAAATTAAGGTGTATACTAAGTTACAAGAACAATTATGTTTTCATGGACACATATAACTTTTTTCATATTTATGAAAAGTGATGCCCTGCAGTATGTTTAATGCATATTAAAATATTAAAAATTAAATTTAAAATTCTGGTTCTTGCTTTCAAACCTCTACATAATGTTGCTCCGACCTGTCTATCCTACCTAATACACAAGTATGTCCCGTCTAGGCCCTTATGCTCTACTGAAGACTTACGTCTATCTTCTGTCGTACTTCCTCCTCTGATGCTCACCTTCAAGACTTCTCGAGGGCTGCACCGTTCCTGTGGAACTCACTTCCCTCCTCTGTTAGATGCTCACCCAGTCTCCACTCCTTCAAAAAAATCATTAAAAACCCAAACTTCAAACAAAGCCACATGGGACTCTGTCCCACAGACACCTGCTGGAGACTGTGTGGTGAAAAGGGCACATACATCCATATGTGGTGGCAATTCACCAAAATTAGCACATACAGGAAAGTGACAAATATGAACTCCCGCATACTACAAAAAAGATTAACCCCCGAGCCATGGTCGTGGCTACTATCCAGACCAACTGACGGACTAGACAAACACGAACAAAGACTGCTTAATATGCTAATATGCGCTGGCACAGCATTGGATAAAATCAGAAATCCCACCTCTTACATTAGTACTGACAAAAATTAGAGACAATTACCTGATGGACAAACTGACAGCCCAAGTCCAAAATACCACGACCACCTTCCAAAAAGTTTGGGTGCCATGGGAACAATTCGATGCGTGCCGCTTTTTCACCGGGGAGTAGGAGTAAAGCGAAAATGACCAAACGACCCTGTGTCCCTAAGAGCTAATGTAACACAGGGTTCTGGGCATGAACAGGGAAATACAAGCAAATGGAAAAAACATGGTATTGGAATCCAGAGCTATATTCACACATCTCAAATGCTACACCAAGACACACCTCATTTGTACCTACTTTACGATGACTTTCTTTTTTCTTTAGTATACATGTATAACATAAATTACATAAACGTAGAAAAATAGACAGTTACCAAATGACTTTCTTCAACCAAGGGGCTTCTGCGTTAGCCACAAACCAAATTGCCATCACACTGTGTGGCGAAACCAACCTCGCCACTGTGAACTGGAGAAGCCTGGTTGCTCGCCTGCTCCCTTTGGACTATGGCCCTGCAGGTTAAACTGTTTATTTCCCCTGCAGAAAGGCTTATTTGTGTGATCTGAGTGCCATTCATCTAATAATGTGCACTCAGATCCCAGCTATCTGGGGATATGTGAAATGTCTGTGTGTTATGTGTAAATGTGACTTTATGTATTTTAAAGTGTTTTGTGTCTTTTTGCAACCATGTGCTTAATGGAGTCTTGTGTCTATCCTGGGAGATAATTGAATTACTCTCCAGGATAGAAGACTCTGAAACTGGTTTGGGCCAGAAAGCCATGCTTCATTTAGTCACAAAGGACTTTCCCTTAACTTTTGAACCCCTGGTCTGATTCGTGCCATTTTTTAATATGTTGTTCCCCTGAATGGATTGATTGTGAATATGTAATTTTATGTGAATGTGATGTATGGTTTTAGAGTTATGAAAGTTGGGTAGAAAGTATGTTTTAACTGTATGTGTAATTGAGTTTCCTCTCAGGATAAGGGGAGGGAATATGTGGGATGTAACTGATATGTGATTGGTTGTTTTGTAACGCCCTGTGGGCTGTACTATGTTTGTGGATTGGGAATAAAAGAGACTGTATGTGACAGTACAGAGAGTTCCTGTTTTAACCCTCAAAGTGAAGTGTCGTCTCATTATTGGGGGAAGGATTTATTGTATGCTGTTCCAGTTTGACTGCTAGGAGAGTAAACCTATTCGTATGGTTCCTATTCAACTGTCTACAGCATTCATATGCTTGAGAGCACTCATATGCTCCTACAATTCGGTGGTTGTGGTGTCTGCTGCAGTGCTTGGAGTCCTCTGGAAGCGCTAGGAGCATCCTTTAACGGAGGTACCCAGTCGGGGTGCCAGGCGATCCGTTACATTGGTGGCAAGCGGTGGGATGGCATCCTAGTGCGAGGTAAAGCAGCTCAGAGACACAGTTCGTTTGGATTTACAAATTGAGGGCAACGCTAGCACACGTGCAGCGCCCCTGGGAGCAGAGGTATCCAGCGACTTGGAGCAGACAAGTATGGAAGACTCTGGCGATGATTGGATGGCCGAGGTGAGGCAGCGAGTGGCCCAGTATGGGGATGATTTACCCATGGAGGTACGCCGGGTGATCTTGAACCAGGTCACTGCCGAGCGAAACACAAGGCTGGCCGAGAATTCCGGCTGGCGAAAGAGAGAGAGTATGCTCAGCGGAAGGAATGTTACAGCAGCCGAGTAGAGGCTGCATCCGAGGAGGCTAGCCGTCTCCCCCTGAGGCGGCCGCAGGAACCCGAAGTAGGGGTCCTCATAGACTGGTCCTGTGAGGAACCACAACAGGCAGGTGGAGATGGGACCGGCCCAGATCCCCAGCAGCAGCCGGAGTTGCCAGGTGCGGAAGCAGGTGGTCCTTACTCGCAAATGTTGAGGGACCTCACAGACTGGTCCTGGGAAGACCCACAGATGGCAGGTGGAGATGGGACGGCGGTCTCTCAACCGGCCCTACAGGGATGCTGGGCGGTCGGCCCAGATCTCCAGCGGCAGTATGTACCCCAGGGAGCTGAAGGTGCAGTCCTTCCTCCCCAGCGGCAGTGTGCACCCCAGGGAGCTGAAGGTGCAGTCCTTCCTCCCCAGCGGCAGTGTGTACCCCAGGGAGCTGAAGGTGCAGTCCTTCCTTCCCAGTGGCAGTGTGTACCCCAGGGAGCTGAAGGTGCCGTCCTTCCTCCCCAGCGGCACAGTGTCCTGCAGGGAGCAGAGACCGTCAGTCTCGCACCCCAACCACAGGACAAAATAATGAAAGGGGAGACAGCTGGTCCCCCTCTCCACCAGCAGAGAGAGTGTCAGGGAGAGGAGCCTGATACCCCCTCTCCCCAGCGGCAGTTTACAGTTCAGAGAGAGGAGCTTGTTACACCCTCTCTCCAGCGGCAGCCTAACCCAGCAAGGGGAGATGTTACACCCCAACAGTGCAGATGGGACTGTAGTCTCTGCACTTACAGCACAAGGGGTAGGGACAGTCGGTCCTGTTCCCCAGCCACAGAGCGGTGTATCCAGAGGGGAGACAGTCGGTCTCTCCCTCCCACAACCAGGCTCCCACCAGGCTACTTCCGTGGTAGCACTGGCATCAGGGCAGAGTACCGCTGGTCTCTGCCCACTCAGCAACCCACCAAGGCAGCCTAACGGTTGCCCACACAGTCGTGGTGAGGCACCTGGACATGGACAAAGTTCTCCTCTACCCAGGTGTAGTAACCAGTTATTGTGGGTGGGCTGTACTGCTGTTTCTGTTTTGTGGGTGGGTTGCTGGACTAACCAGGGCACTGACCGGCAGGAGGTCAGATACCCTGTTAGTCTAGTTGGTAAAGGGGAGAAGTGTGGCGAAACCAACCTCGCCACTGTGAACTGGAGAAGCCTGGTTGCTCGCCTGCTCCCTTTGGACTATGGCCCTGCAGGTTAAACTGTTTATTTCCCCTGCAGAAAGGCTTATTTGTGTGATCTGAGTGCCATTCATCTAATAATGTGCACTCAGATCCCAGCTATCTGGGGATATGTGAAATGTCTGTGTGTTATGTGTAAATGTGACTTTATGTATTTTAAAGTGTTTTGTGTCTTTTTGCAACCATGTGCTTAATGGAGTCTTGTGTCTATCCTGGGAGATAATTGAATTACTTATCTCAGGATAGAAGACTCTGAAACTGGTTTGGGCCAGAAAGCCATGCTTCATTTAGTCACAAAGGACTTTTTACTAACTTTTGAACCCCTGGTCTGATTCGTGCCAATTTTTAATATGTTGTTCCCCTGAATGGATTGATTGTGAATATGTAATTTTATGTGAATGTGATGTATGGTTTTAGAGTTATGAAAGTTGGGTAGAAGTATGTTTTAACTGTATGTGTAATTGAGTTTCCTCTCAGGATAAGGGGAGGGAATATGTGGGATGTAACTGATATGTGATTGGTTGTTTTGTAACGCCCTGTAGGCTGTACTATGTTTGTGGATTGGGAATAAAAGAGACTGTATGTGACAGTACAGAGAGTTCCTGCTTAACCCTCAAAGTGAAGTGTCGTCTCATTATTGGGGAAGGATTTATTGTATGCTGTTCCAGTTTGACTGCTAGGAGAGTAAACCTATTCGTATGGTTCCTATTCAACTGTCTACAGCATTCATATGCTTGAGAGGATTCATATGCTTCTCCGGTTCGGTGGTTGTGGTGTCTGCTGCAGTGCTTGGAGTCGTCAGGAAGCGCTAGGAGCATCCTTTAACGGAGGTACCCAGTCGAGGTGCCAGGCGATCCGTTACAACATCTATATATGTTGGAGGTGAAGTTACATCTTCGGCACCTAAGAAATGAAACTCTGTATGTGGGGACTTAAAAGTGAAATGCTGCACATTCATACTACAGGCACCATGACCATTCAAATCACTGAAGTGGTCATGGTGTTTGGAGTAACCCTTTAATTCCAGCAGAAATTAGTGGCTGTGCTACGGATATTATATGTGACCATGTATGCATATACCTGTTGTATAATAACCTACATTTGCATTCTGGGGTATTAGTATCTCATTTAATAACACCACGATTAGTGTTCCATTGTGTTAATATAGGTTAGTTTACTAACTGATGGATAAGGTTTATAGTA